TGGTCACAAGGCGGCTCATACAATTTGTGACTGGAAGAAATCTTAAAGATACAAGCTCAACATACAGTCAGAAATCTTCTTAGGAACCTATAAGATTGGTGAACAGCATCAGGCAGGTGCAGAGTAACAAAAATCATGATTTGCTCTGACTAAGAAAGGTCTCTTCCATTACAATCAATACAAACTCCAATATTTTATCTTTTATTTACTCACTAGAGTTCAGTCAGCAGCAGTGTGTTCATGCTGCGATGGTGGCCAGAAGCTATATCACAGCAACCTCACTGAATGAAATACTAGTTTACTTTATATATAGCCCCCACCCTTGATTTTAAGACACCTTTCTTGATCAGAGTAAATCATCTTTTTTTTGCTTTGGACAAATTATATGAGATTTTAGAGATACTGAGTCGAACAGTGACAGATAATATGTTGGTCCTGCATCAGAGTTATGGATCATTGTTTCTTGAGAGATACTTGCTGCAGCTGTAAATGTAATAACACAGGAAAAGAAACTGCATTCATCGACACTGTACTGAGGAAAACCTCCGACATATATGTCAAAACCTGAAAAAATAAAACCCAAACTATCTGTGTGACTAGAGGTAAATACAAAATGTATTTTTTTTTTGTACTGTGCATGAACCAAACCTGCATGAACATTTAATATTAAAGCTTTTAGGATATTTCAAGTACAATCGCAGATATAGACAATAACATCATCACACCCTGGCTTATCAAACAGCAGCACATACAGCAGTCTGCAAACAGGAGCACAAGCAAGGCAAAATGATTGGATAGGTATGGAAATCTACTTGAAGGAAGGTCAAAGTGATTAAGCTGACATTAATGACAGGCCTAGTCTTCCTGTGAGAATGCTCACCGTAGCTGTCTCTAAACCCATTTGTCATTCTGCTTCCAACGCTGAAGCATCTGCTTTGAAGTCTCTACCACTAATGCTACACAGAGAGGTTAAACAGCTTAATGCTGAAGTCTGTTTCACTCCTCTCGCTCTCTAATGTTCGCTGCATTTTATGCACCAGGGTTATGGCTCCTGGATTTCACATCTCAATTTGCCCCAGATAGTCTTGTAAAAGCTCCCCTCTCTCTTATTTGCTTTGTTGTCACTGTCAAAGGAAGAGAGGGGCAACCCGAAGGATGTGGGACCGTGACAGACAACGTCCCATCCATCGATTCACAGTAGAGGTGATAATGAAAGCATGTTAAGAAATATTTATAAGAGAGGCAAACCAGTGTTGATTATGATGATGGGGCAGCTTTTCCATTTAAACATAGAACTTAATCTGCTGAAGATTTTAAAGACCTGACAACAAAAAGACAAGTCTTGAAATAATGAGCACATATGGCAACAACTGTGGAGGTCAATTTTAAAGCCTTTTATATCTATCACAGCATTTGAATGAAATGATACAGTCATTATGATAAATAATACAAGATGTGAGGCGCTCTGGACTTACTTAGTCTCCACTACAATGAGATTATACTGATGCATGTGACATTAACAATATCAACAAACAAACATATGAAAGCATGAATGAAAGGAAGACAGAGACTGATTTTCACAGCCAATTTGAGATTGCAGGGTTGGTGTGTGTGTGTGTGCATGTGTGTGTGTGTGTGTGTGTGTGTGTGTGTGTGTGTGTGCATGCGTGCGTGCGTGTGTGTGGGAGCTACTGGCAAACAGCACACAGAGCAGGCTGGCAGCGGAGGCAGCCAGGCTCACAGGCTGCAAAGCAATTTCACTGTTTGGCAATACTGTTGTTTCTGTGTGTGGATTAGAGCTGACACCAGAGCAACTGAGTCATGCTAAATGTAGTACAATCACAAGCTTTTGTTCCTGATCTAAAACCCCACTGCCTTTTAGACTCATGGAAGAGAGAGTGGAAACAAGGCTAAGAAATGGTAACAAATAAGCGGAGCATTATTTCGCCATATGAGCGCAGCATTGCGACATCACTAAAAACAACAGAGGGATTAAAGTAGCTGGTAGTAAAGTCATGGCAAGTTCTCCAAAGTAAATCCAAATACAAGTCTTTTTGGTATGATTTGATGATATCCATGCAAAGTATTTTTCTGTGTGGTTAAAGGACAATTAAAGGAAGCGATATGTGTAATAAATTCAGATGGCAGGAGAAAACAATCTCATGACGGTAAGCAAACTGCATTTCCACCTGGTTTAACCACACCTTCCCATCACCTGGCTCTGCAATGTGTTTCTACAGGCCCAACGCTCTCTCTCCAGGTACCGTATTGGCCCAGAGTTGTTTTTGGGCCTGGCAGGACCTGGCAGGACAGACCCTGACCCGTCCTTTTCATGCTCACCCACGGAAATGCCATCTGGCTGGTGTGAATGATTACCACAGCAACGGCCGGGTGACCTGCAGCCAGCAGGAACCAAGGTCACTCCACCTCAGCGCTTCGCACTTTCCCTGCCCTCTTTTCATCAGCCTGCAGGTGAATTATTCATCCTGTACAACTCAGAGGCACAAATCTACTGCACAAACACTAAAAAACTGCACACTCAGTCGACTGATATAATAACTTGTAATGAGAAAATAAACGTTCCAGTGTGAGCCGCTAAAATAAATAGCTCGTGGATGTCCTCGGATATAGTAAGAACAGTGTTCTATATGAACTCAGAAGGCGAAACAGCTGTAATGATTTTACACTGCAAGAAACTAGCTCCGACCATGACTGAATGAGAAATAAGTGAATTAATTGATTTCTGACACATGTAGCAAAGGGTGTCACATTTAAGCTACAGGCATGTATGCAACCAGAGGCTTGTAAGAATATTTACCAGAGCAGCTGTCAATAAGAGAATGTGATCAGAGCCAAGCTAGCCCTGTGAAATAGTAATGCTTTCAACGTTAAACTGAATTTTGGTAAAAAATTTAAGTGTTTCCACTTTCAACACATGCATGTGTATAGTGTGCTATAGCCCATCTGTATCACCTGTAAAATGATCATCACCAGCACAATGACAAACCCCAACAAACGGGTTCAAAAGCATAGAACAAGAGCAAAGACAAAGCTGTAGAAGTAAGTATACACCATTCAGTTTCTAAAATTACATTTTTATCCATATGTGCATTTGAGCTTATTTAAATTTTAAGCCTGAGACTGTGTGGGCTAATACACATAAGAAGACTGCTTACAAAAGGAACCTGTTATGCAGGTGATTAGCAGTGTTTTACTTATGGTTTACATACTATGGAAATATAACCCAAAAGCCTATAGGACATGGATGCATTGGAGGTAAACCTATTCCCCCTCTCCCTCATTGGTGGAACTGTTTATCCATTTTCATAAGCTGACAACAATCCTAGGTACTACTGCTTCTTAGTAAGTGGTTCATTTAACATGAGGATAGGGTCATTCAAGGGGACACAAGCATCAATTAACACTTTTCTGTAGGTATCATGAATTTTTCTTCATATCCGTGGTTGTATGCCTTATAATGGTTACTGACTGGAGGCTCCCTTTTTATTATAAACCACTACATCACTGCTCATGACACTAGGTAATGGCTCGGGCATCCTTAAGGGCCAGTTCAGATGGAGCTCCCAGGTTAGTCAGTCACATTTAATGAAAAAGCTTTAATGTATACATCTATCATAAATGGTACACGCTCCTATGGAGCCGGGGGTGAATCAGGATGAGAGCCCGCAGAGAGGACGCTACATGAAGCCGCAACAACAATAGCTCCCTCGCCCCTCTGGATCCCAGCCTGGATGAGAGAGAGGTCCAGCGGCTGGGAGCTGGAATAAGGCTCGACCAGCACGAGACAACCGAGAGCCACCAGATCTGATTTCTCCTCCTCGGTAGGCTTTTCCGAGGAACCCGGACTGCCATGCTCCTGTCATTTCTCATGTTACAGAACATCAGTCAAACGGCAGAGACGGTGCCCTTGCGCCGGCCGAGGCTGATTTACAAACATTAGCGGGGAATACAATTACACAGCCCCCCCGGCCGAGCAGCCCTATGCGGCTTCAGGAGAGAAGAGAGGAGGAGGGGGGAGTGGACACTGAAAACAGCGTTTAGCTTTCCCAACCTTATTTCAACGTTTGCTTTCAGGAATACAAACGTATAGCCTGTCAGCATTGTGGTTTATAAATTCCACTTTCAGCTCAGCGGGTTAAGCTATATGCTACGGACTTGACATGCTATTTAATGGGACTATGTAGGTACACGTTATGGCTGTGATACAAACAAACTGCTCACCTGCCACATTCTTCACGCTATTAATTAGAAACATTTGTGCCAGCGACGTTACAGCCCAACGGTTCAACGTCTCAACACTTAACGGCTCGCTTTTTAACAACTAACTGGTTACACGCTGCACTACGACTAACGTCTCTAAATCTACAGTCTGCACAGATGGAGAATATTTCATCGTAAAAATGTCCGAGCAGAATGACTAACGTCCACAAAATAAACTTTCCAGATCACAAATAAAACTTCCCAACATGCAAAATTTTCTCAAGATACAAAAAAGATGTAAAAAAAATTACAAGAATTGTACTATAGCCTACTGAAAGATGCAGCAGCAACGCAACGGCCGTCGACACAAACCGCATAAAACATTAAGCTGGGTGAAAAAGTTACAGCCTACGTCCAAGAACAGGGATTCAGGGGCGCATTAAAAGTTTCCGTACATGTAAGTACGGCGGTGCTTGTCGCGGACAATAAAGAGTAAAAAAGCAGAAAAGCTAATGCATGTAAACATCAGTGCTGTCCGCGGTGCTGATCCCAGATCGGTGTGGCTAACACAGAGGCTGTGCTGCTCCACGGTCCCTCCACCGCTGATCAATGATTGAACTGAACAAAGGCAGAAGAGGGATCAATTTCTAATAACTATCAATGCAAACACCGCCAGCTTTCGTCTTACATTCACCCAAAACGAGATAACACACACCCGAGTACAGTAACAAGACATACCGCTGGAAAAATAAGCCGAGAAAGGTGAGAATAGCACTAACCTGAAGCCGCCGTAGATCAAATTTCTTCCAATATTGAAACATCGATCCTACATCGGCGGCCATCTTGGGGGATATTGAGGAGATTTTTTTCAGCGGCTGCAATAAATATGTGGGCTGGATTCCCCCTCGTTAAACAACGTTTACGATCACCGGTCCCACTTTTAAAAAAAAGTAACGAACAGACTTAACACGAGAGTCCACCGATATGTTTGACAAGTCTGCCAACATGTTTTTGTGGAAGTGAGACGGAAAAAAGTAGACGATATTTTTGGCGAACTGCCCGGGTTTGAGAAAAGTAAAGAGCAAGTGTATCCGTGCCTCCGTCCCCAACATTAACTGGACAATTGCACTTGATTTTGCTTTGGCAAAGTTATCAATACTGACGTAAAGCCCGGGTTGATCAATACCGTCTGGAAAAGGGAAGGAGATGATGTGTAGATTAGTGGAGTTCAGGGAATTTAGCCAAGCCTACTTTTTTTTTCTCTTTTTTTTTTTTTAGCGTGTTTATTACAGGAGCAGATGGGACAGTAAAATTATAGGCCGTGTTAGAAATTAAAATAGGTTACATTATTGACATATGCAATCTAACTATTATTAGGATGTCACTTAGTGCACATACTGTTTGCTCATTACACTGCAAATTAGACTAATTATCTGCATATTAAATTTCCATATTGTTAAAGGAAATTTAACATAAATATTCTAAAATGAACTGTAATGTTCTGCAAAGTTCTCTGTCAGCAATGTCTTTTAAAGTGCCATTCATAAGTTAACATTATTAAAGTGTTACTTTTACATTATTTTGAAAATCCATTTGCTATATTAGCCAATTACTTAAAAAAAAAAAGAAATAGCCTACGTTTCAGCCTCCACTTGATAATATTTAAAATTTAATATGTTTATGATTATGATTTTTTTTTTACAATATGAATTATTGTGGATCAATTTGTTGGCTATAGATGGTCAAAGCCTGAGTGACTGTTTGGATGGGTTTTTCCTAACTGTGCATTCATATTAACAGAAAAGAATATATGTAAAATTATGCATTCATTCAATATAAGACCATAACAATATGAGTTTAAAAACTGTCTTTATGAAATTGCCAAAGAATGTGTTAATGATTTAAAGGCAGCAGCATCCTAAGCAGATATAGAGTGTCACATATTTTACTTTGTCTAACTTAATAAAGCATGAGGGTGTTCTTTGTCGACTTAAAATAACTCATTCCTCTGGTCAGGGAGCAGATGTAGGCTGCTGTACTGCTACAGCAGTGCCAGGTGCTCCCCCTGCTGACACCACAATCTTAGAAGCAAGGTTATGTGCAAATGAGCACTGTGTGATTTCCTCCATTAATTATACCATTATCACTGAGTGACTATATCCATCAAAACCAATGGTTTAGTCCACATTCCACCTCCTGATCACCATGCACCAGCATCACTGTGTACAGTAGCTTCTAGCTGATATCCCTTATGAAAATCAGTTCCAGGTAGAAAATAATATCCTCATGAGTCATATTCTCAGCACCCTGGGGGGGCAATGACATATCCCTCTGCCACAGACAAACACCTCAGGGGAAAGCAAAGGAAGATTATTAAAAGTTTTGCTTATTGCATTTTATATGTGGCTCTGGGGTAAAGCTAAAATGCTGGATTTAAATAAGACAGGGATGTGTGTGATAATGATAGAAGACAGTTTTTCATTTTTACAACTCATTAAGGTATGGACAAGATAATTAGTAAAAAATTAAGAAATAGCACATCTGTCCACAATTTGGGCAAATCTTATAATTTTCCTGACTTTAGAAACATCCATCAACCAAAATTAAGCATTTATGTTAATTAACAGTTGAATAAAGGATCTGATTACTATACAACGCTTTATGTAATTAACCAATTGCTTCCTCATACACAGCAACACCCCACACCCTTCAACAGAGGGGTGAAAGGGGCAGTGTCAGCTGGAGCGCAGAGTGACACTGCAACAGCCTGAAGCCCTCGTCCAGGACACTTCAAGTAAGGACATGCAGTACATACTGTTTTCTCAATTCAAGCTTTAACCTTGTCTTTGTGCCCAAGAGTGCACCCTGCTCACACCAGAGAAAAAAACAAAACAAAACAAAAAAAAACGTTCTTTTTGCCTGCAGATCAAGCAAAGTGTTTGTAATAACAGACATTTTCAGATGCCAGATAGGAACATTGTGTTCTGGCTCAATAGGAATGTAGAGCACCCAGGCTCTGTTGGGACCCAGGTGGAACTTAAACCCACAATCTCCAGCTCCAGGTGCTGATGCTTTGTGTGTCGGGCACCCCAATCCACATTCAGCCTGCTGAATATGGCCTCAATCAGTTCTGTACTTCTGAATATAATCTTGACCCCCACATTCACCGCTGTCATCAACAAAGCACCGCGGGCCTCTCCCAGTAACCTTGTCGCCTCATTCAAATTAATATATTATCCTGAAAAAGCTTAATCTACAAAGAAATGCATTGGTTACTTCAAATGAGGAGTGCGGGCTCAGAGGGGAAATTATCCAAGAGCAGGAAAATGATTGTTTAGTTGAGGTCACTAAGTGAGGTATTTCACTGAATGAGGGATTTCTTTATAAATATTTAATAAAATGTCACATTGCTGATGAGTGATAGCAGCTCCTTTGAAGATTTTTTTTTGTAGTAAATAGCACCACCTAAACCAGAGTGCTACAAAGCAAATTCTCCCTGCCTTGTTTATTTTACTGTCTGTAGAAGCTACAGCTACAACTGCTACAAGACCCCTCGTCTCTTGTCCTGGAGGGTATAGACCTACCTATGTTTGTCTGTCCGACTATCGGTACCTTAGCACCCTGACTCTGGGAGGTTTGGTTTGAGCATAATCCCTTTACTTTTAATATGTGTAAATGTTTTATCCTTTTAGGTCATTTTCTCTGACCTTGGTTACCATTTCAACTGATACTTAACCAAATAAGTGAGTTTAAACTAAATCAAGTGATGGCATGCCACAAAATGTGAAAGGTCTCTGCTCATATGTGCAACAGTAGGACAACATAGCCTTAAGCAGGAGCAAGGTTAAGTCTTGAAATTATAATCATATGCATTGCAGTAATTGTTTTTATTAAACTAACTTTAACCTGGTAAAAGTTTTATTTACAGAGAGAGCCTGGGGTCGGTACTGCTAGAGAGGGGTCTCATGTAAACAGCAGAGTTAAAACCCACATGTTATACAGAACATCATGTCATTTTTTTTATTTTCCCACTCCCACAAAAGCAGGCATGTCCTATGTAGCTGAACCAACACAATGTAAAATGCATCAACACTTTGACTGTAGTAAAAAGAACATTTCACTGGGTTGGTGATTAGTGGACCATATAAGGGTTTAAAATATTAATTTGAAAATGTGAAAATATCTTGCAATTTTTATGAACAGATATTATATGAACATAATTAAATACCTCATTTGGTGCATGATGCAGATGAGTTCCCAAGTGGTTTTATTGGAACTAAATCTCCAATAAACCAAGAAAAAGATTTATAGGAAAATCTATACAACTAAGTATTTATTTAAAATCAGATGCTGCAACAAATGTAGAAAGAACCGTGAGTTGATTCAGTGAGTTAAGATCAGATTTCCATGGTAGTTTAGAGGCTGAATGCTGTGGGTTGCTAGCACTACCTACTGGACAACATAGGTAAATGACTGGTTGAAGAACAATACTAGTCTGTAACGTTAAAATATATATAGACATATTAAAATGTTTTAATATGTTTTAATTGGGGTTACTGATTACACCTGTGCTTTTCATGCTATGATAAGTGAAAATATCTATCTATCTATCTATCTATCTATCTATCTATCTATCTATCTATCCATCTATCTATCTATCTAAGGTATAAAAATGCAGAGCAGGTCCAGTTGATTGTGAGTTGGGGCAGTTGCTGTGGATGAACCCCTCATCACACACATGTGGGAAAAGTGGTGACATGGTGAAGATGAGTCATCCTCCACCATATTCTAAACAAGATGTACAAGAGAACGGTTCAGGCCTGAATGCCTGAGCGCCACAGTGAGGGGATCTGGTGGCTCTGTTATGCTGTGGGGGGCATTTTGTTGGCATGGTTCGGGTCCCCTTGTCCCCTTAGAGAGAAGGGTCACTGCAAATCAGTATAAAGTTATTCTGAGTGGATTACTTTTATCCCATGATGAAACCTCTCTACGCCGATGGGAGTTGTCTCTGCCAGGATGACAATACCTCCATCCACAGCTCACGAAAGGGTCACTGAGTGGTTTGATGGGTGTGACAGCGATGTGAATCATATGCTGGTACCTTCACAGTCACCAGATCTCAACCCAATTCAACACCTATGGGAGATTTTGGACCAACGTGTTAGACAACACTCTGCACCACCAAATGTTGGTTGATCCTTTAATTTGTCACCTGGCTGTATATATGTGTGTGTTTTATTTAAATGTAGGTCTGCAGCTCTCAAACAACTACCGTTCTACTTCACAGTTCAAACATTAAGAACTCAGAAATGTTTTATGTTGAGAGAGGCCATAAAACATACCTCAAAGAAAGCAAAAGGTCTAGTCCAGACATGTTTTAACATGTGTAGAAATAATAAAACATTATGTCTGATGTGGTTTGTCAAAAATTGCCTGTTAAAAAACACATCTATTCCCTCTCCAGAAACAAAATCCTGAATCTATGACGTGTGTAAATGTGCAAATATTTTTCATTTTCAAAGTTTAATTGTTGGACACAAGATGTTTCCTTCACTCTCAGCAAACATGCACTGGTTTCAGGTTGTTGTGATGTCACAAAATCATGTGACTGTGGGTTGTAGTGTTGTATTAGCTTTGATTACACTGAAAAGTATTGCTTTTATGCACATGTTGGATTAACTATAATTCAAGTAAACAGCAAATCATATATATATATCTACTCACAAAGTAATAAATTGAGATTGGACCTTTACTTGTGCTATATCTTGATTTTTGAAATCCACTAAACCAGTCAACTGTCATCACAAACATTTCACTTCATACGCTGTTATGTATGACGTATCAAACACATCTATCAACTGGTTAAGAACACAAAGCCAAGATCTGTGTAACAGCGTCTGAACTAATTCAGTCTCATAAGTGGAGAATTACCATATAATCTTGTTGTAAGTGAGAAACTAAACAACACTGTTCACGAAACACATCATATGAACAGTGTTTCCCACCAACATGTTCCACCGCTCGGCCCTCTGCTGTTTAGGATCAAGTCTTTTTGGGGCTCAGAAAGCTTTAGCTAACATTTCCGTTTATCATGCTACCAAGAAACAGCTCCCATCAGAGCATAGCTTGGGTCCCTGCGGACCACTAACAGGACAGCTGGATGATGGATCCCATCAAGTGCAACTGTCAGTCACAAACACAACAGTCCTTCCTGAGCCAAAGCTATGTCATGCTGTTATTCTTGGATCTCAGTAATGGGGTATGTGTGTTTGGCTATTATCCCTAAATCTCATGAACTCCAACAATGGCGGCAGTGAGGGAATAGTCCACTTTACCTGCGTATATGCCTAAAAAAGGCATGGAGTATTTATAGCCCATAAGCACGCGGCATTATAGAGGGGAGAGGGGTCAGTATATCTACCCCTTGTTTTGACTGCCACTCCATCACAAAGCAGCAAGGATAACCTACTGCTCAGTCCTCATCCAGCTAAGACCCAAACATGGTGAGTGGACAGAGATTTCATTCTCATCGCTTTTCATTTTGTTTACAGCACCGCCAGACTATAAGGAGACATTCTGTTATTGTGTTTATATGGTATATTGTGTACAGTATATTATATATACTTTTATAGTACACTGTCCTGGCATGTTTTGATGAACTGTACATCTTGCTCTACTCACACCAACGGTAAGGAATCAATACACTCCATGTCAATATGCGCATGGGTACTAAATACAGATCAACAAAAAAAGAATCATCAATAGGACAACTGGAGCACTGTCCTATTGATGATTTATTGATTATTTTTGTCTGTACTCACAATAATGAAATTTTAAAAATGAGTTTGTAAATGTAGCACAGAGAGGAAACAAGGAGGGGAAACAAGGGGAAGAGAGGAAAAAGGTGGAGAGGAGAGGAGATTTGAGAAGATGAGATGGAATGGGAGAGGAAAGGAAACAAGGAGAGGAGCAACAGGTGCAAGTCAACAATAATTCCGTGTCTTATTGTTTTGAACATTAAAGTTTCTGTTGGTCCCTTCATGATCTGCACTGAGCAGCACCAACAAACAGCAAATTCTGCCTCCCTTCCCATGATTGCACGAATCCTCTTAAAACAAAATAAAGAAATAAATGAAGCTGAGCACCAGAGGTCCCGTCCATGAGATATACAACTGCTCCAGAGCTAATCCACAACAAGGGTTAGACAGCAGCTGTCGAGAGGCCCGTGAATCCGAGCAATATGATGTCATTGCTCTGCATCCCCTTAGACTGTTTTTCACAGTTCCTTGGCAGTCATGTAAATAGCTCAACATAATCCTTGCCTCTGAGGGATTTCTGATCAAACAAGGCACAGTGTACCATCCTGTCATCACCCAGGCCCTATAGAATAATCCCTCATGTGATCCTGGGACTGTGGGAGTGCAAGCAGCGGACCACACCCTCCCCAGGCTTAGACTGCATTCTCACAAAATTGGAAGCTTGAGTAAATATTTCCATAACAAACTGACAGTGTTTGTAATCCTCCCTAATGAAATGCGTGCCCCGGTATAAACCTCGCCTGTTGTGCAATTAATGCCCCCACACTCGGTAAGTTTGCAGATCATTGGCTCCTTATCATAAGTGCATGTGTCACAGTAAAACCGATAATGAGTGAAGCTGAAGCAGAGAGCCAGGTGATGATTGTGCCATTAGTATTGGATCTAATTAGAGTGTCATTGTCGAACCCTGCAGGCACCCAAGAAAGCAAAGAAAAGAGCGGAGGGAGCCAGCTCCAATGTGTTCTCCATGTTTGAACAGGCCCAGATCCAGGAGTTCAAAGAAGTCAGTGCTCTGCCAAATGTTTTTTTTCATATTGAGTTTGAGCAGTTTACTGTGTGCCGAATGTGTGCGTACTGGAGAAACAGCATGTTACAATAACACCTCTACAGGCTTTCACTATCATGGACCAGAACAGAGACGGTTTCATTGACAAGAACGACCTGAGAGACACGTTTGCAGCTTTAGGTAGGACCAGCTATGTGTCTGTTTTGTGTTGTGAGGGTCTCACATTGTCATATTTGTCATATAACCGTAACCATTTGTGAAACTTATTAGAGTTGAAGCAATCGGTTGATTAACAGAAACTATTTTGATAATTATGTAATCTTTGCAGTAATTTTTCCAAACAAAAATGCCCAAAAATCACTAGTTCTTCCTTCTCAAATGTGAGCATTTCTCACTTTTCCCTGTTTTATGTGATCATAACCTGGAGGAAAGTTCAGGAACATCATGATGGGCATTTTTTCAACATTTTATCGATTGATTATTATTAATTAATTAACAAAATAAGCATATTAAAAAAATCATTGGTTGCAGCCCTAAAGCCTGCTCCACCTTTTCTGCCATCCTTGTCTAGGCCGTTTAAATGTGAAGCAAGAGGAGCTTGATGATATGTTGAAGGAGGCACCGGGGCCAATTAATTTCACAGTCTTTCTCAGCATGTTTGGAGAGAAACTAAAAGGTGAGCTGAGAGAGTTTTGTACATGATCATAAATGTAAATAATTCAAAAGGACCGGTTTTGGGCAATTTGGAAAAAAATTACTACCTTCGTTTTAACTTTCCATGAACTCAGAGCTGCCACTGTTCATCTTTAGGTTCTGACCCAGAGGAGACCATTCTCAACGCTTTCAAAGTCTTTGATCCTGAGGGTCAAGGAACATTAAAGAAAGACTTGTGAGTAACTGCCTAGTACACTGTTGCTGAGTGGGGTGGGTGCCTGGTCTGCTCATCATCAGTGCTTCTCTTCACAGTATCACAGAGATGCTGACGACCCAGGCTGACAGGTTCTCCCCTGAAGAGGTTAGAGCTCTGACAGTGTTACAGTAGACTGTAACATTTTGAACTTCAATAATAGAACAATTTGTTTTTATTTATTGCCCATAGATGGAGCAGATGTTTACAGCATTCCCTCCAGATGTAGCCGGAAACCTGGACTACAAGAACCTGGTCTATGTCATCACACACGGCGAAGAAAAAGACCAAGAATAGATCAATTACTCCTGAGATTTCCCTCTGGACATTTAAATCAATGGGTCATGTTTGTGCTGAGATATGTGCATGAGTACACAGACTAGAGCAGAAAAAAATCAGCTTCAATGATTTGTTTTCAGAATTGTGTATTAATGCATTAATTATTTATTGATGAATTATTATATGTATAGGTTTTGTGGATATTATTACACTAGGTATATGTAATTACTTGATATGTAATAGGTGAAATTAAACGTTTATGTGACCACAGAAAAGGAAATGTTTCATATTTACTGACGTGACATATAAGAGATATTTTTTTCTGAATGAATAAAGTAGGGGAGCTCTGAAGAAGATCCACACACATTTATATTTGCACTGTGGCAATAAAGTTTTGAGGATGAGGGAGGTTTCCAGTGGAAATGAGATTAAAAATGCAGGCCTCTGAGGAAGTTAGATGTTCCCAGTGTGAGAAACAATACCTTTTCTGTTTGGCTTCACAAAGATATGTATATATTTGTGTGTGGATTTGCTGCCCATAGTTGCAGCAGAAAGCAGTTTCAGTCGTGATATTTAATTAGCCGTATAGAGTCATTTGAGTTTTAGTGCCGTGCTGACTGTGCAGCCATGGACTAAAATGCAGACCAGTTGAGCTCAGCAGCTACAAGTCCCCCTGTCCCAGTGTAAATCTCTTCAACTATATAAATATGAAGCAGGGCATTGTAGGATATGTATATGTTAAAAAAAGAAAATATGAAAGATATGTCCAGTCAAAAAGATTAAAGGTCTAGTCGACAAAGGGAGTGACTTCCCTCATGCAGCAACTGATCTCTGGCTGCTCTAAACTGAAAGCTGATTTCGAGGATAATACTGTGTCAACTTTTTATATAACCTTAACAGAAGATTTAAATACATACGTATATATTATATTTAAATTTTTCACAACTGAAACCCCCATCAGCTCATTTTTGAAGGAAATGAGACGTCCATACTTGTGTTACATTTGCTAAGGGGAAATATGTTTTTTATTTGCCACACTCCACATGTATTTGGCTAAACTATTTGTTGCTTTGGGAATCAGTTGGTGAAACCTATTTTTCACATTTACATTTTGTGTTTAACACATTACATTACATTACTCTCCACTGAAAACTAAATGGAGTGAACTGAAACAGCAAAGTATGAACAGGACGTGTATAAAATCGATCTCTGTATATGATAACTGACAGAACACTGAGAGCTCTTCTTTGGTGTTCAGAACGGCTTCTTGTGAACGCAACTGTGTTTACCATCTGCATCTATGTCAATTATACCTTTGTATCCATAATTGCTGCATAATTACCTGATATATACTTGACTACTTTCAGTGTTATGTTTTCACCACTGCTATATTCTTACCAAAATTAAGCTACGAGCTATAATTCCCCAGATAATAAGCGCTGTTCCTCCTCTAATGTTATATAGACTAATGGCACCAACTCACTGTAAAATACTAATTCTTTACCATTATAACATGTTATGATAAAATATAACCATTATTTTTATAGATGATAATATTAATGTTATTATTGTGCTTTGAGGTAGTGCTGTCTTTATATTATTCTTCATTAGGCTGATAAAGTAACTACTGGGATAATACCATACTCGCCCTTTGATTGTATGGAGGAGCATTTTTTGTATTGAAAGTGGCTAACGCTCCTACCAACCACTAATAATAATCAAGATGATGAGCTGATATTTTTCTTGTATTTTTACAGTAATTTCTCAAACACACTTTTCTCTGAGCGGGTTGACTTTTCCCCATCCAGTACAGTAGGGGGCAGCAGCGGAACAGCGACCAGCAGCCTCCTTGAAGCAGCTGGCTAGCTCTGTACAAGGTGCGGCAGAGAAAAAACAGGGACGGGACACCATCACTAGCTAGTGGCTAGTGCGGTTGACGTTTATTTTTTTTAGTCCGCGTTTCTCAACAAAAGCCAACATTGGATGTAGAATTTTTTTAAACTGTGATGTTTAAGTAGCTTATTAGATCGTCCAAAGTGTCAACGAGCAGCTAAACAGAAGCAGGGTCACATCAACATCTTTACCCTCAGCCGGAAAATCAGCGAAGCTAACATTAGGTAGCTAATGCTAGGATAGCTAGCGGGCTAGCTTTCACAAGTGTGTTAACGCCAAGACCTAGATTTGACTGAGTCGGTTTTAATAACGCAAACGTTGCAATGGCTGATGTTGACAAGCTCAACATAGACAGTATCATCCAACGTCTTTTAGAAGGTAAGGGAATGCTAAAATATTACCTATATAAGACTTCTTCGATTATCTGCATGCTGTTTGTGACAGGCGCTAACAGTGGACAAGCGGCAATAGATACAGACGTATGCTTATAAACATCTTGTAATGTAATTAGCACTATTAGCTAGCTAACATTATTCATATCCTATACGGTTAACTCTCTGTTTTCACCATAATTGTCTCTAGGTTTGACATGTTAAGTGTACCTGAAGGGCACGAAACGACATCTACTTGGTCAAATACACACACACACACACACACACACACACACACACACACACACACACACACACACAAACACTAACATTGCGCATTCCCGGCGTGGCAAATAGCTTGCCCTATATTCACATTATGTCCCACACAGGTTCAGGATAGCGATACTGTACCAGACAATGTCAACATAGCTGTGACCGTGCTCAGCTTTTGTGTTTGCTGACCTTTGTTTATGTTGTCTTGTTGCAGTCAGAGGAGCAAAGCCTGGCAAAAATGTGCAGCTGCAGGAGAATGAGATTCGTGGATTATGCCTCAAATCCAGGGAGATCTTTCTCAGTCAACCCATTCTTCTGGAGCTGGAGGCCCCTCTCAAGATTTGTGGTAAGATTTGCATTTATGTGTGTGTCTATCAGAAAGGAATGAATCACCAATTAACAGTAGATAGTCATATAAGATCGGTGAGGGTTAGGCTCTGGTTTCATTTCTAAATTTCTTCAGGCAGACAATGACAAATCATGACTCAAAAAGACAACTATGTGTAATTCAGTGTAGTGCTGGAAGTGCATTAATTTATCCTCCTGCAGGTGACATCCACGGGCAATACTATGACCTACTGAGGCTGTTTGAGTATGGGGGTTTCCCTCCTGAGAGCAACTACCTGTTTCTGGGAGACTATGTGGACAGGGGGAAGCAGTCTCTGGAAACCATCTGTCTTCTGCTGGCCTACAAAATCAAATACCCAGAGAACTTCTTCCTGCTGAGGGGAAACCATGAGTGTGCTTCAATCAACAGAATATATGGTTTCTATGATGAGTGTGAGTAATATATACTGAATTTAACATCTAAAATATATTGTAACATGACCAGTACCATGACTTAAGTGTACCTAGCAGCAAAAAATGTGATTGTTTAGTCTTCACACAGAGTCTCTATGGCTGATTGAGCTGTATGGGGGAACTCAACACAACAACAGTGGAAGAAGAGTTCCTATCGCTTTGAGATAATGAAGGATTGAAATCTACTTTGTTGTCTTAATGTTTTAGGTAAACGAAGGTACAACATCAAACTCTGGAAGACCTTCACAGATTGTTTTAACTGCCTCCCTATTGCCGCCATTGTTGATGAGAAGATCTTTTGCTGCCACGGTGGTGGGTTCTTTTTTTCTTTTCTTTCCTTCTCTTTTTTTAAGATAAAACCAACATTTTCAAGTCAAGTATATTATATTATATTTACACATTTCTAGTAACTCCACTGTGGACTAGTTATATGCAGAATGTCCAAAGTAGTCTAGCTTTGACGTCAGCCATTCTTATTTGTCCTTGAGTAATGCTGCCTTTGCAGTTTGTCAACTGACGTAGGCCTCACCCATGTGCAATAGTTATTGACCTCAATATCAGTGTGTTTATTTGCTCTTTTACTGCCGTTGTGTTTAGGACTGTCACCTGACCTTCAGTCCATGGAGCAGATCAGACGCATCATGCGCCCCACTGATGTGCCTGACCAGGGTCTGCTGTGCGATTTGCTCTGGTCTGATCCAGACAAGGATGTTTTGGGCTGGGGGGAGAACGACAGAGGTGTATCATTTACCTTTGGCTCAGAGGTGGTGGCCAAGTTCCTGCATAAGCATGATCTGGATCTGATCTGTCGTGCTCATCAGGTAATCACATTGCCCTCCACCTCCGTAAACAGAAATGTGACTGTGTAAAGTGGCTGTGTAACGTGGCTGTGTACTGGCAGGTCACTGGCAGGTCACTGGACATGCTGATTGACCTGATACTAGTAAAGCAGGACATCACACACTGTTCAAAGAACTGTACACATTACTTGTGCGTGTACACTGGACAAATTCGCAATCTATTTTGGCTGAATAAAACAGTGTCTACTAGTGACCCTCAATTGCGTATGTGTAATAGATGTGACCAGTTCAGCTGGATTTTTTTTTTGTTTGTTTATTTTAAAGAAATGACAGACCTGAAGAGAGATCAAAATTGATCTAAAGGAAAAAAACATTGTACAGTTAACATCCATTCAGTGTGTGCATTCTTAAGTGTGTAAACCTGACTTTTCTACTGTTAATCTTACTTGCAGGTTGTTGAGGATGGCTATGAATTTTTCGCAAAGAGGCAGCTCGTCACTTTGTTTTCAGCACCAAACTATTGTGGGGAGTTCGATAATGCTGGTGCCATGATGAGCGTGGATGAGACCCTCATGTGCTCTTTTCAGGTGAAGTGCCTTTACTTGTACATTAGGTATTTTAGGATGATATGATTTACACTTTATTTTGACATACTGGATAACTGTAAAATATTGCTCATTTGAATAACAGTGAGGTGCATCAAATTGGTTGGTATTAGTGTACAAGGTATTAACAATGTGTAAGTACCTAGTGTTAATTGTGTAAGTGCGTTAAGCTTCTTTTGGTAGATGTAAGGCCAATAGGTAGACCTGCTAAAAGAATTTATACCAAGGTGCAGAATTAGGAGACCAAATGCCAGTAAATTTGTTACTGCAGGTACAACATTTATTAAATAGGCACGCACACACACTCACAAAAAAACAATGTAACTTTTGACCTTGCAGTTCTACCAATTTACTACTTGGATTTCAGTTATTTTAATGATCACTTTATCTTTTTTATATTCCATCTGTTACTGTTTATTTATCTGAAACAAAAAGAATGAACATCACAAATGTCCAAAATGTTTTATAAGAATCTGAAATTGTGCTGGGTTAACATTTGTATCTAGTTCAATATCTCCAACTGTCTTTATTCCTTTCGTAGATTTTGAAACCAGCTGAGAAGAAGAAGCCCAACGGCAGCCGTCCTGTGACTCCACCACGCAACATGGTCACCAAGCAAGCCAAGAAATGAGAGGCCCGGTGGGGGGCAAATGGCCGGAGTCTCACTCCTCTGTTCTGCTTTCGTCTTCTGCATTTGAAGGATTGGTTATCCTTCATGCTGCCAATAATGAAAAGATATCCACTCCTACCCGATGAAAGCAAAATATTTTGTTGTTTTGTCCACAGGGGTAAATTGATATGTCACCATGAAAACCTCAGGTGTTTTGCACTCCATTTTGCAGCTAGTCTTTGCCACATATGACTGTTCAATCAGGAAAAATGTAACAATACGGCTACTTATGCACAGGAATGCCTTGTTTGAAGCTGTGCACAATTTTTCCAGTTTGTTTCATGTCTTATTCATTTGTCATCTTTTTTCTCACTGTCAGTAATGGGTATTAATGACTATAAAACCGATGGGGAAAGTCACAAACACCTGTTCACTTCTGTAAAACTTTATTTACAGTTATTTTACAGTCCATGTCATAGAACATTGACTCTACACTGCATCATCACATTTTTAAACAAGTCTTGTGCTAAATTAAATGAATAAGAAAGCACTCTTGTAATGTCTAAATCTTTCTAATAAACTTTGAGTGTATTTTAGGGGGAAATTGGTATCTGGATGTCATTTGCTTCTGGAACAATCACAATAGAAACTGAAATGCAAGATTGAACAGCAATGGTTGTTGCCCAAGAAAGCTTGATAAGAGGGGCTACCATCAGCCAACACCCACAAGGGGGAGACAGAATATAGTGCAAAGTACAGTTCAGACAGGAGTAATTAAATTGTCCAAGAGGGTATGAAAAATAAGGAAAATATTTTTATTTGCATAATTTTTCAGGAATGTCCATTTCCTTTTTTTTTGTTTATTTATGAGACGAATTTATGATCATGTCAGGTTATTCTTATGCTTGAAATAGCCCTTTTCAGTTAATTTGTCCACCAAAACATGCATCTACCCATAAAATGTAAGAGCGTGTGGTTTTATAACTGATAAATAAGATGAAAAGTTGACTCTAAGCGGTATTTCCTTATTAGGAAACGTAGATTGCGTAATGTTGTCTGACGTCAGAGCAGTCACAAGACCCAGCGAGCAGAGTGTGGGGAGCTCTTCTACGACTGGTCCACATTTTGTGTTATGTAGTGTCTCAGAGGCAGAACTGGCACCATGGCCACGGAGAATCAACACTTAGGGGTCTGTGGAAACGGACGAGGCGGCTGTTCTCATTGAGTTTCTCTCAGTTTTCGCGGCGCAGGATTAAAGCTCCCCGAGGCTGCACTTACTACACCAGCGGAAGGCATTGTCTATGCGTGCGTGGCGGCTGTTGTTGTCGGCAGCAGCAGTGTCTGGCTAGCTCAGACACACATCTCCAGCCTCGTTAGCAAGTTAGCAGAGCCAACATTGTGTGCTTACATCGACGCTAAGCTAGCAGGGTTGCTAGCTTGGCCGGTTCGTGTTGTGGGAGCTGGTGTTGTAGGTGATGTTGTCCGTGCTGTCGTACGGTAGACTGGTTGCCAGAGCTGTCATCGGCGGACTTTCTCAAACAGACAGCCGCGACTACAGCCTGGTGACAGCGAGCTGCGGCTTCGGCAAAGATTTCCGTAAAGGCATCCTGAAGAAAGGGATGTGCTATGGGGACGACGCGTGCTTCATTGCCCGGCACAGATCCGCCGATGTTTTGGGTGAGTGTCTGATCCGTGTGCCGTAGAAACATTAACCAAGTAATGCGACATAACCCTGGCTCTGACGTGAATGGCAGGTCAAAGGTCACCACCTTTATCTGAATGCTGAAATACCTGACATGAAGGACTGCACGTGTGACCAAATGTTTAAAAGAAATATATGGTCGACTGGGTACCTTTACATGAGCTTGTCCACTGTTAACATCACTTCACTGTACTTCAGTGTTTATGTTTTTTCTTCTGTAGACTATTTTCTGCAAAACTCAGCTGCATGTTCTTTGTAATTAATTAACTCCTCACACCATCACTGTCTGAAGTAAACAAAAAGCAATGCAGGCTTTAAAGTCTGCTCTAGTGAGGGGTAATTGAAATGACTCTTCAGCACTGAAACCTTGAATCTCTTAAAAACAACCTGTTATTTAACATGCGGGAGTCCCTGCAGGAATCTACTGAATGTCTCTGCATCATGAGATGATCAAGACACATGAGGAAACATTAAAATCAGGACATCCTCTCACCAAGTCATGTTATTTTTGGAAGGTTCTTGGGGGTTGATGAGTTGCAAAGTTGTGTGTCTGCTTTGAGCAGGCCTGTTTCTGTGTTCTGGCACAGGCTGAGGAGACGCAGAGGGACATCCATGTATGGTCAGTGGAGCAGATGCTGGCGTCCTGGGAGTAACAAGACTAAAGTTTCCTTTCTAGGAAAATCTTGGACCTGATCAAATGCTCTTATGGGAATAAGCAACTTACTAATCTACAAATTAGGACAAGTTTCCATAGAAAGATTAATGAAGGCTTCAATTATCGATTTGGTGCATTTAATTAAGGGTGGTTTTAGAGAGAGAGAGAGAGAGAGAATTTATTTTTGTAGGCCTGAAATGCATCGAACTACATCAATTATTAAATAAATTCTAAATAAGGTCTAAAAATAACAGTTAACTTCTGTAGATGACCAGATGGACTCTATTTGATGTTATCAGAAAAAAGTGAGCATGCAGTTTGTTTCATACAGTCCGAGACAGTTCCTTAATTTCTTCAACAGTTTTTTCTGTACTCGTTGTCCTTTTTGCATCTTGGTGAAAGTGCCCATTGTTTTTCTTTGTCGTGCAGCTGCATGGTATTGTTCTTGTGTCTCAACCGTGGAAACAGTCTGAGGAATGTCAAAAACGATTACTGTATTCCTGTGCTCATTTTCACCTTAAATCATTATTATCTTAATGGGAATTAGGTCCCGGTTTAAAAGGCAGCATTGCGTACAGTACAAAATGCAAATATTAGAGAAAGAAGCTGGGTTTTTGAAACTAACATAAATAGAAAAATATTATTTGTATTCATTAAATCAACACCTGTCTGTTTCTAGGTGTGGCAGATGGAGTGGGTGGCTGGCGAGACTATGGCGTAGACCCGTCACAGTTTTCAGGTACACTGATGAAGACATGCGAGAGGCTGGTGAAAGAAGGACGCTTCATTCCCAGCAACCCTGTGGGGGTCCTCACGACCAGCTACTACGAGTTGCTCCAGAACAAAGTGCCACTACTGGGTGAGTGAAGCCTCTGGAAACGCAGGATTTCAGTGTTCATAGAGAATTGTGCCCACTTTAATTTGATTTTAACGCACATTAAAGTAGAGAGTATCTGTGAATAAATATTCCTGCTTCTAACCAGTGTATGGAAAAGCACCGTTATGGCTGTCACCTGTTTGCTGTCTGGTACCTCAACACAAGTTCCAAGACTGCTTCTTTTCTGAAGCATTCATACTGAACATGTTTTCATATGACTACAGACTGTGGTACTCATTTAAAAGCTCACTAAACTAATTAAGAGCCTCCTAAACCATGCACTCTGCTGGACAATGTATGCCAATCTATGGTGTGTGAGGGCATACCTGGCCTGCCCATGAAACACTACATTTTCCATGTGGTTTGGATCTGAGTACACTATGTAGGGCTAGGTTGTTTATTTCCGTCTGTTCAGTTTAGTGGCGGCTGGTTGGAGATTTTTGCATCATGACTCAGAGAACAGCCAGATCCCATTAAGAAACCCTGGGAATGCCCCAAGTCCCAACCTGCCCCATGCAGTTCACTTCCAGAATCGCTTTCCTCCGTCGCACCCCTTCCAGATAACAAAGCGTCCACAAACATGTAGCATCAATGAAGAAGTGTTTTCACAAACAGATCTCTGTCGCTGTGACTTTCAGTACTTTTCCATCCTGCTATCACATGTGCGGCAGGGGAAACAACCCTGCATTGTGCTGTTGTTACTTCACGGCAGAGGGAATGTTCTTGGGGCCGGCCGTGTGTGTAATTGTACTGCTGGAGAGAAAACACAGACGAAAGCCAGTGAGTCACATTGCGTGAGGGGATTTGAAGGTTGATCCCAGAGAGCAGATTTTGGTGTGCCAGATGAATCACCAGCAGGGTGTGGCTGCACGCTGTCCGCCTGCTTCACTAGCTCATGTTTCCTCTTCACCACCTCCCAGATGGTGGAACTCCAAAAATGATGAAAACTGTTACGCTGATTGAGGTATTTCAAGTTTGTGTATTCAGGCTGACTTCATTCATCAGTCTCCCAAACGCACTTTACATGGGTATTTTTCCATAAACATAGTCATTTCTTAAGATGCATAGCTGTGGGAAATTCAAGAGGAAAAGACTGCTTTTACTGTGTCTGCAGCTGTGTTTTCATCCAAACATTTGCATTGAAATAGAAAATATATAGGGTAAATCTAAAGCCTTCTTTCACAGCAGATATTGATATTTCACAAAATGAAAAGTACAGGTGTAAATAATGAAATGAAATGAATGAGCTGCTTCAGTTCGGTGTTGTTCATGCCAGCTTGTTGTCACACTCGTTGTTTACCGGGACACTTGAATAGAACACAGCCATTGTTAATGTCATTAGTAACACCTGTGCTAACACCTGTGGACGCATGTGGAATGTGACTTGTACGACACACCTTTTGTGAAATGTTCATTGATACTGTTGCAGCATGTTCGCTGCCAATCACTGTTTACCATCATGACCTGTCCCTGAAATTTCATTTTTGGCACAGTTCCATGTTATAGCAACTTGACATGACTGTGGGCTGCAGTATGTGCATCTGTTCTCATTTTAAAACAACACACAATGTGCCCTAAAGAATATACATTTTCAAAATGCCAATTCTTGCAGTACTTTATAATGTTGTCCTGAATGTTCAGTGGTATAGTTGTTACATCTATTGTTAACACTTTACGATAACACTACCCTTATAAAAGATTTATAAATGGTTTATAATTAGGTTATTAATTCGGTTGTTAACACTTTATAAATCATAAATAAACAGTTATAAACAAGTTATAACACATAAGACATTGCTGCAGGCTAACTATTTGTTAATGCTTACTACTCATTAATCTTACTATTGAGTTACTAGTAATAGTAGCCTTATGGTATTTATGGTATTCATTTATTAATGAGTTACCATAAGACTCCCTTTTACCAGCTATAAATACTAGTAACTCATTGAGGAATAAGTATTAACTTGATCCTCCAAAATAGTGAGCTTGCACCAGTATTCTAACAGTGTTCTAACTTGTGCTCATCAGCTGATGATGCACACTGATGATTACACCCTGTTTCCATTTTATTTTTAGGGTATTTCAAACATTTGCACTGAATTGTGTGTGTGTGTGTGTGTGTGTGTGTGTGTGTGTGTGTGTATGTATACACATGTGTGTGTGTACACGTGTGTGTGTGTGTTATGTGTGTAGGTAGCAGCACAGCCTGCATTGTGGTTTTGGACCGGCAGAGTCACCGGTTGCACACAGCCAACTTGGGAGACTCGGGCTTCCTGGTGGTCCGGGGAGGGGAGGTGGTCCACCGCTCAGACGAGCAGCAGCACTACTTCAACACGCCCTTCCAGCTGTCCATCGCTCCCCCGGGGGCTGAAGGGGCCGTCCTCAGTGACAGGTGAGACCCTGAACAGGAAGCACCTTTTGCATCTGCTGCAATCACATATGAATTGGCCTGGGGGGGTAGGGGTGGGAGGGTGTGTGTACCTAATAGGTAATGGAAGTTTTGATAGAGAGGAGATCATGCATGTGTTCTGTACAGCAGATGTGATAAAGCCCAACACATCCTGATAACAATACAGATCGCACGCACATAACAAAGGAGCTTAGCCCGAATAAACTGCTCTGCAGAACATTTAGTCGTGCTTGTGTCCCTCACATGCAGCAGTGTTTGGTGAATTAGCGACTGTGCAGTGTTGAGCTGTGTGTAACTGTATCAGGGGCCACGTGCTGCCGTGTCTCGTTGGTGCAGTGTGCCAAGCAGCAGTGCCGTAGATGTCAGTAGAGTGCAGGCCAGGCGTTGGATGTTTTCCCAGCTTTCCCTCTTACCCGGGTCAAAGTTTGTGTGGGCTGATGGGCAAACTGAAGAGTCCCCAGCCAATCGTGTACCAGCAGGCTCAGCCAGCTTTTGACTTACTCTGTCTTGACTCGTGCTGATTATTTTGAGCCTCTAAAAAGCATTTTCTCAAAAACTGATGGAAGATGAACCTGAACTGCGTGTCACCAGTGCTACAGTGTTTTATTTCAATTTCTTTTAAATGTTCCAGTAGTTGATGTGGATTTAATCTGGTTCTTTTTAATTTGTGCATTTTAGCAATTTAAATTCAGTCCAATTTTATTTATATAACATCAATTTAGGACGTACTGTGAATTAAACTGATAGCAACACCATATCACTAACATAGCAACCGATACTGTCAAAACTGAAGAGATAACTGAGATAAGTTTGCTGAATATTTTTTTTATAATGTTTGGCATTTGATAAATGGCTCTGGCTCATGGATGTGGATGATGAATCCAAACATGGTGGCCCTATTCAGTCCAATTACAGCTGCTCATGAAATGTATGTATACAAACAGTTTTTTCCAATTTCACGTGCATTTATCATACTTGGCTCCCATGTCATGTGTGTGCATTAGTCTCTACCTGTGCTGGGAAAAAGCTTTAAAGATGTTTTTTTGTGTGAACTGATTTCAACTACATCAGAATCACAGCACAGGACAGGCTGTTCCTGAGGCTCTGTGTGTCCAGACAGTTTGAAATGAATAACATTCATGACTGGCTGGAGGCTGTGCAGCAGGATAAGGGCATCTTCCAAGAAGCGAACTTGACACTGGCAGACTAACTTGGTTCGTGCCTATATGTATCTGTAGCACCCATCATCATAATGGCAGCACCTTTTATTGGACCTGAGTGTCCTTTCCAAAACCCCCATGTGAGGATTCTTTGAATGTATCCTTGTCCATCATGTGATTACGTCTCTGTAGCCAAGGTGTAATATCAGTAGCCTCTCAGTACATTTTCCCACCGGGTGGAGTAATCTGCTGTAATCGCTGAGTATTCCTCGAGTAGAGGAGAGACTGGGTCAGAGGTTCAGATTAATTTATCGGGTCAGACGGGACAGATTTCCTGTATGGGGGTGTAAAAAGGGGAGAGTTAGAGAAGGCAGAGAGGAAAAAGCTTTAAACGGGACAAATTCATGCAGTCACTCATTGATGCTTCTTAGTTTGTATTTTTAGTGAGGGGAAAACAAAACATTTTAAAACTGAATGGCTTAAATTACCAAAGGCATCACATACAGTGTTATATTCTGTGCCTCCAGCCCTGACGCTGCAGAGAGCTCTTCCTTCGACGTCCAGCTGGGTGACATCATCCTCACCGCCACTGATGGGCTCTTCGACAACATGCCTGACTACATGATCCTGCAAGAGCTGAAGAAGCTCAAGGCAAGTCATAAAAAGGGTCTGCTGGTGAGAGGAATCAAAAATATGTCTGGAATACAAACTTCACGCCTGCTTTGTTTTTTTTGCTCCTCAGAACACAAATTATGAGAGCATCCAGCAGACTGCCCGCAGCATCGCAGAGCAGGCCCATGTACTGGCATATGACCCCAATTACATGTCGCCTTTTGCACAGTTTGCCTGTGACAACGGACTGAATGTAAGAGGTAAGTGTCTCGGTTTCACTCCAGCTGTTCCAACTGATGCTTATTTCCTGTTTTTCTTCAAAGCTTTATTAATCAGGTGGAAAATGACACATGACATGAGTAAAGTCTATTTTCTGATGAGCGCCATCCTAACAGGAAACTGCTCTTTTTGTCCAGGAGGAAAGCCAGATGACATCACAGTGCTGTTGTCCATAGTGGCAGAGTACACCGACTAGAGTCTGTGTGGAGCTCGGACAGGGGGGCATCTGCTTCTGCAGGTGATGGACTGCTTTGATTCCTGCTGGCCAGGATGAAGGACTAATGTCAGATGTTCCCCCCTCGCATTTCGCCGGTTCTAGTCTGCCGCAACCGCCAGCTGACCATCACCCCGTTTTCCCCTCCAAAAATCTCCTACATGCCCACGTCTCCGTGATCATGTACATCTGAGAGTTGCTGAATTAAGAGCAGAGGAGGAGGCCTGACACATCCTCTTGGCCAGGCTGCAGTGTTGGCATCTTTGCAGTGTTCCAGTGCTCAGTGGATAATCCCATTGCCCGGGATAAGCAGTCATTGGGCATGTTGGAGATGAGGATAAGTCATCTTTCTCTGATGGGTGGTTCAGGCAGGGAGGAAGTTGAGTTTCCAAAATGGGGGCAGATGTAGCCAGACAGACAGGAGGTGTTAGACTGTTAAAGTGGCCCACCGCTGGGCCGCCGGAAGGGAAAGATACAGTCCTCCAGTAGTGTCAAGAAGGGAAGTGCTCAGGAAATGGCAGCATTAGGGCTTAATAAATGCCCTACCTTGTGAGAGCGCATGTTCGTCAAAGGGCCTGGAAGCTTGTGCGTGGCTGCATGGAGCATATGTTAGATAATAAGACATGACTGGTGTGCTGTTCTGGGATGTGGGAAGAAAAAGGAGTGTATGTGACATGTGTACATCTGTGGTTAGTTTCTTGGGGCAGTTTGATCCAATATGATGTCATAAAGAAAAGCGGCAGCTGCCTTTTCCATACCAGTGCAATTCACTGCACATTTGTTACTTCATGGGCGAATTTTTCAGTTCAAACACTTCGAGATACTGTGTCAAACCAATGCCCACCCTTTAATCTCACAGCTGCTGCTAGTCTTGATTTTTTTTGTGTGTGTGTGTGTGTGTGTGTGAGAGTGAGAGAGAGAGTTTGGTTGAATGCACTAATGTGCTTGTCAGTGTGTCTATTGATTATGTGTAGTCAGTGTGTATGAAACGGATGTGAAGGCTACTTCTCCATATCCACTGGGCTGATTTGGTCTTTGCAGCCTTAAACGCACAAGCTTAAGAAGCATATCTGAAAAAGCTCAACACAGTGGATGTTGGTCAGATGACCAAATGTATTTTTGTAACTTCTTTGTTCAGTGGGATTGTTGAATTCTTTGGATTAATCACCGCATCAGAGTAGCTTTAGAAACTGGTGTTCACAATCAGCGTTTCCTTTTCTTCTCTCTCCTTCTGCTGTAGAGCTCCAGCAGTACATTCATCAGTCAGGTCGCTGCAGGTTTCAAGTGAAAAATAGTCATTGTGTTTCCATTACATCACTTCAGATTTGCACTCTGCATTTACTTTTACCCACAGTTAAAAATATTTCTTCCTAAGATCCATATTTAGGGTGATGTTATGATGATGTGCCTTGTATCAGGTGTTGTTGATACTGGCAGAAATGTCCACAATTCCTTAAATGCCCGACTGTGAGTCAGGTGTTGAGCACAATGCCTGAAACTGTTAAGTAGCCATAAGAGACAGAAAAGCTTTCCCATCATGCCTTGCTGTCTTAACACTAGGTACTCATCTACAGCATGTTGAACCTTTTTTCTCCTGAAATCTGCTTCTCTGCACTCAGTCAGGAGCTTAGGAATAGTGATAAAGCCATCCCACCCTGCGGGTCTTCAGATCACTGTTTACAATCTGCACTGTTGAACGGACTGTTTCCCTACTTAATCTGACAAGTTCACACTGGAGCGCTGCAGTGTCAGGTGTCATTCTGAAATGGGGCTGATGGGCATGGAAGAGCAGATTTAAGGCAGAGCGAGCAGTGAATGGTCAAAATGTGTTTGAAGTATTACAGCACTGAGGACAATCTAAACAGCCTTAACAATGTTACAAAGCAATTCTCCCAGTCACATGGTGATAACCACTGTTAGCTTTGTGGTTCCTGACTCACACCTGCCCTGACACTCTTCCCTGTCATCTCCCATCAACTTCATCTTCCTCTACTTTGTTACAACCACATTGTGTGTGTGTGTGTGTGTGTGTGTATGTGTATGTGTATGTATACACACACACACACACACACACATACATATATCAGATCTAAGCTCTGTGAAGAAACATTTTAAAATCTGTACAATATATAAATAAAGGGTATAGTATTTATTATCCTGTTGTATTTGGTGTTTATTTTCTGAGCATAAACCTGCAGTTGGTTTTGAAAGTACATTGCAGAGACATTTTCTTCACAGGTGCAGGCTACATGGCTCTAGGCTGTATTTTTCCATCATGACTATCACACTTCACTCTGCATTCAGGCCAGAAAAGATAATGCTTAAGAACGTCTTGTACGATTTGTGTCTACTCCCACATTCCTCTTGACTGACTACCATCAGCAGCTGGTATCTGACGGATCTGCCACTGCTACTCAACACTCGTTATTATTGCTGCTGTTATTGTTAATGACATTATTGCACCTATACATATCACTGTTATTATTATCATTATAACAACCAGTCTGACAGCACTTGAATACAACAGTATATACAGCTGTTCCTGGTCTCTCTCTTTCCCTCCCTCGTTTCTCTCCCCTCAACTTTACCCAACCTCCCTCTGTAATATTATACAATATTATTACTCTTTAACATGCCGTGAGATGCACGAGATATAATGCATATTATAACCTGGAGCTACATAAATTAAATTGTATTTAACAGGTAGAGGCAATGTTTTCACAGAGTAGACCAAACAATCTTTTTCCCTCATTTGAGATAAATATATTTTACACTGAAATTGCAGGAACATGTTGATTGATATATTCTTTGATGAATAATCATTGTAAATACATTCTCTTGAATTAAAACTGAACTCTGTGAGGAAACTTATCACTTTGAAAACAGTTTAAACAAGCAAAGCAACATTTTAGCGATAAATAAAAAGCTTAAAATCAACTTAAAATGCGAACTATATTAAATATATATGAATTCAGATCATAAATCGTCCTGATTGCCATCAAATGCTGTGGTCTACTTTTGGCAGCAGCACAAAACATGAAGATGAGAACCAAGTGGTAGCTCTGTTCTCAGAGTGAAGGGCTTCTTGGGTATTCGACTTCCATATCCTCCTCTGTGTCACTGAAACATGCCAGAACAGGCAACATGGCGTCACAGCCATCAACGTCCTGCTCTGAGGACAAGGCCCTGAACAGGAGGGAGCAGATCTACAGGGATAAACAGACCACATGTTAGTGTACCCTTAAAACGACATATTATTATTTTGCTGAATTCAAAATAAAGTTTTCTTAATTAAATCCAAAATATGAGGGCTGCATTAGGTCACTTGAAACTGGTCTGAGACGATGGTATTCATCTCTTGATAGGGTAAAAATAAATAAGATTGCCAGAACAAAACTTTCAGCAGAGGACGATAGCAGCTGTCAGCCAGAAAAGTTGTACGATAGGAAACAAGAAAAAATAATAGTTTGAGCTGTGGCTGTGACACCAACAAAACAGTTCAATTCATTATATTGAGACAGAACACAGACGTCCCATCTCTCACATCCAGCGTCACCTTGCCTGTCTTCTTCGGTCATACCTCATATGGTGAGGCATTATGGCACTGTGGGCAAACTTCCCAGTAGAGGTTCAAGTAGAACACTTTGAGCACTTTGGCACTTCACAATGCCACCCAACCTGTCAAGACTGTGGAGCATTCAAGCCTCGGGGAACAAATAAAGGTCACAAGGAGTTTGCAGTGAAAATGAAAAACCAACAGGTAGCTCTTGTTACCGTGGTGGAGGCAGGAGTTGAGGTGGTACTGGCACAGGCCTCTTCAGGTACACCGAGTCCGCCAGAGTGGTCAGCCTGAGACAGGAGCTGCATCAGCGCAGGTGGGTGGATTATAGGGCTGCCCTGGCTGGATGCGATCAGCTCCATCACATCAGGAACATCCTGTGGCTTATCACTGTCTGCCTCATATGAAACCACAGGCAGAGAAGCGGCATCTGCACACCTGGGAGCAGGTGCAACACACTCATCTCTCTGCAGCGAGGTGTTCATGATTCTATCAACCAGAGCTAGTGATCAGTTCCTGAGCGGGTAAAATTAGACATAACACTGCGCAAGGTAATTGTGGTGCGCAACGCCACGATCTATAGCAGCAAAATAACAATTCTCTTCCTGTGCAGACAACACTGAGGTCACAGCATGTGACTCCTAAGCAAGTGGATTATAACTGAGCCTGATGTGGAGCTGGATATACTGTCATGTCTGATGGAGATGGTGGTAATGGAAAATAAGAGGCAGCAAAAAGAGAAGAGTTAGACAAAGACTAGAGAGGAAATCCCACACAACACTAATAACCATAAGGCTAAAAAAGTGGGCTGCTTTTTTGGAAAACTTGCTGTTTCAGGTGAAATTTTAAATATATTTTTGACCTTGTGTCTGTGTTGTCCTCAATGATAACACTGTGTTTTGTTTTTTTCCAGAACTCAACATAAAGACAGTTATTTATATAAATATATTATACATAATATAAATATATATAAAGTAGTACTAGTAGTAGTAAAGTTGTAGTTAATTTTTTGATAATAAAACTGTCAAACAGAAAAACTAGGATGAACATTATTACCAACTTTAGTGTTGCTTTTCAGATTTCATGGTAATATCAAGAAGATTATGAATAATAATCTTCATAAAGACATTCTCGAACAGGACGTGTTCTCTATATCAGCTGATACTGAAAGTGGTCTGTGACGCAGTATGAGCAAACAACAAAAACAACCCCATGCATGTAACCACACGACATGTTATCACCCTGAGAAGAGCAGCCAGACCAGAAGTATAAAGAGGAACACGGCAGGAAGGAGAATAGAGTTGCTGGTTTCTAATGCTCTCAGGCTTCATGGTTTGTACTTTAAAAGGCCCTGAGGCAGAAAGCATGAGTGTGTCATGAATAACAAAAATACACTGTATATGTTCAGAAACAGCCTGAATGATTCATGGCAAAACTGCAACTAAAAGTTAAGGGGTGCAGGTTGTTGGATTCCTGAGCAGTGGGGACAGGAGCACTGACAAACTTCCTGCTCATCAGGTCAGGTCTCCGCAGACTCCCAACAGAGCACACAAGCAAACCGAAGCACAAGTGACCCAGATGTTCAACAGTACAACTGGGACTGATGTGACAAGATCGGCCAGAGCCCAAAACGCAGTACAACAGAGTGTGAGTTACAGTTAGCAGAGCAGGACAGTAACACAGTGACAGAACAGACTAACAGGCTAGCATAGCGGAGATGAGGGGATTAAAGCACGTCACACCGATAGGCTTCTAACCTAACCCCGCATGTCCTGAGCTTGGCCTATTTATCTCTGTTACAGACACAAGGCTGGCTGCTGTAACACTATGCACTCTTAGGAAGCTAAAAACAGCCAGCGAGGGCAAACCACCGTGACTGCAGCCAGCAGAGAAGCTCAGGTAGAGCCTCTGTGGGAAGATTCAATTGAAACTGGGCCTACAAACACTTCAGCTGTGATGAGTACACTGCCTGGTCCAAATGACAAGAAAATAAATCTTACCCTTATCTGCACCATCATGCCGAGGGTATCACAGATCCCAGGATTAAAAGCAGTGTGGCTAGACACCATGTAGTGTTTGTTACCTGGGTGTACTGGGGACCGGGGTCCCTGTACGCAGAGTGGGGTCCCTGTTTTCAGAGTCCATCAGAGTAGCCAGCACCACGGTGGCCTCCAGGACCATGTCCTCCATGAGGAAACACACAGGCCTGCAAAGGACATCAATAATACACTGATAGATATCTGACAGTAACAGAAACCTAACAACTCCACCGTCTCTTGTTAAAATCACAAATATCTTTCACTGTTTTATCGGAAAATAGAAAATCTCAGCACAACCGGTCACTCGGTAAAAGGGCTGGTAATTACAATCAGACTGATCAGCCACAGGAAATATTGTTTACTGTGTTTTGAGGTTGTCTGGCAAAGACACTTACTTTCCCGCAGCACCAAAGTGGACCGACACTGAGAGACAATGTGACTCTGCAAAGGACAGAAAACCCTGGGAAAACAGAACAGCAGAGACATGTTTGTGTGGATCCATGTCATGACTGTAACGTCTTACTAGCTGATAACTCTAAGAGCAGTGTTGTGGCATGTTTGCAATAATCAGGCTAAAACGGAAAACATCAAAGCTTGAGTAAATTGAGGCCAACTAAAACTCAAAGCCTTGTTTCTAATCTACCCAAACCCGATTTTCCAAAACCGACACGAATAAGACTCCTGGGCTGGCTAATGAGGAGCCTCACAGCGGGGTGTCCAAGAAACATTCCAGGATATTAGGGACAAGAGTTTCAGGTGTTAATGCAGGTCAAGTCTCATTAACTGGACTAACACAAAGACTGTTTATCCAAATTTCCAAATGGCCAACCAAGTCCTTTTTGCTTTCTTTTCTGAGCTGAGACAGAAGACAGCAGACACCGTCAACAAACCACTTTGGATTACCGAGCACGCTACTCTGGAAATGACATTATATTTCTCTAATGCTGTCACTGTTACTCAAAACATTAATAGTTAAAGACTGACTTAAGTTGAAACAACCCTTAAATAAAAACACATGCCTATTTAAAAATTACACATTTCATGAGTAATGTGTGGCCTATAATTTCTGGAACTCATAATCTCAATTACTTTTCCTGTGTAGTAGTTTAACATGCGTCACTACAGTCACAGTATCTTGGCTATTAAGATGAGTCACAGGGCCGAGGGGAAAGTTCACATGAAAGCAATACAGAGAGCCGCGTACAGAGGCCTTAGGACACTTGAGTATCCAGACTACAGGACCAGAAATATGACCTGTTGAAGTGAAATCCTCCTAGTGAGCCAGTCACACACACACACACACACACACACAGGGATACACACACATAATATTCTCATGTGACATGATAAAGGGAGCCTACAAAAATAACCCCCATACCCTCAGTTCCTTCAGACAGAAGGTTATGTCCGAGTCCACTCCGACCTGAAAGTAGTCAAACTCGTCTGGGTGTAAGGACATCTCGGTGTTCATCTTCATGTGATCTGTGACAGAAGTACATCCAGTCAAATAGTATCTGCACAACATTTTCACTGTTTGTTTTAATGTGGGTGAAGAATCAAATATGCAGTGTTTGCATTATCAGGTTGTAAATTGTCAATCTCAAAGCTGGTGCAACACAGTATTGTCCTGGGCCTTAGCTAAATCACAGTGTATGTGTTATCTCACCATTTCCCCCCTCATAGTAATTTCTCAGACTGACTCTCAGAGGAGTCACGGACAGAGTGATTTCCTCCTGGGACACTGGGAAATGCATCACCATATCACTAAGGAGCCTGCAGAGGCAGAGAGCAAAACAAATGCAAACCCTGCTCAGAATCAAACCAAGCAATGAGCAGAGAGCTTTACTTTAACGCTGTGCTACTGATGGATGACGGTTTGTCCAAGACTATACACTTGAGGTATTAATGTTTATGTCCTCGTCAGTCTGGTTGATTAAACTGAACTGCACTGAACTGAAGGTGTATGTGTGTTTCAGAGGACTGGCCAGAGTCAGCTGAGAGTATAAAACACTGTGAACACCTATTGTCTCTCTCCATAGACTGGATTACACTGAGCTAACAAGGTATATGGCAACCATCACATTCCCTATTAAATTCACAGTAAATCCACTTATCATGAAAAGAAGAGGTTAAAGACGCATTTAAGTCTTAAGAGAACTAAGATTTTGTTTGTGTAAAAAGGATCCTATTAAATCAGAAGGATCTTAATAAATCACTGGGATGTGCCGTTGAGTTTGAGTTAAAAGAACGAGCAGGTTCTCACTTGATAACAGAATACTGAGGTGCTAACCTGGCAGGTGCCTTCAGTACATTGGGACAAAGGTGTGAGGCAAACACTGCCTGCAGAGGCTCACTTTCATGGAAATGAAGGTTGTGGGTCTTGGTGATGCCTGTCACAAAAGCAGAGAGGATATTTGCGACACACTGCCACCAAGTGTTGACAATATGCAATACAGCGTCTGCAGCGGAGTGTTCACAGAGGTCATTCTGGTCAAAGAAAACTCAACATTTACAGGAAAAGGTTCAACAGTTCTACAGCTTTTCAAGCTTTTCAAGCAAACAGCTTTCCAGAAATCATGATTCTTTCCTTTTACTCACAGCAATTTCATGGTACAAAACACAATGTTACCTACCATGTCTGCAGAAAAACTGGATTATGACCCGGTCACTGGGTGTGCTGATTGATATCTGACATCGTTCCACATTACGCTCAATGGAAGTCAAACACCGGAAAAGTGGTAGCACATACTTAAAAACAAATACTTATATTTTAGACAGGATCGTCATCACTGTTTTAACAAAGTAATAACAGACACTTTACAGTAGAAACATATCTTTTCATTTTTTGTGCCTTAGTTCATCTGGTTTTATTCCACTACTGTCTCCTATATCCTCATATACACTAGTATTTGTGCAGTGAGCTGTGATGTCACTTTGAGCTCTGTACAAAATGAAGAACTAATATGCCACATATACCCTCATGATCAGTTTGCATTTGATGGTTTCACTGCCTTGCTCTGATCCTGATCCCAGGCTGTAGTGGTCGAAGAACAGTGGCGAGAAAAGGAAGCAGGTATATGCAGAATGAGCAGAGTTCACAGATCTCAGAGCCAGCTGTAAGGCAGAGGTTCAGTTTAGACAGCTGGCTGATGCTATTAACAGAGAGACAAAGGTGCTGACAGGGACACAACAAATAAAAGCCTGTGTATAATAACATACAGTATATTGAAGTGATAAGTGACAAGTGATAACATTATTGCTCCAAAAGAGACAGAATTCATGGCTACTTCCCTGGTTAGAGTGATTATGTGATAATAATCCCACTAGGGTGTTTTACTATCAGTAACAGTTGGTGCTGCTCACCCCTTTCACAGTGGGATCCAACCAAAGCTCCTCTCCAACCCGGGACAGCGCCTGAATCGCCTTTCCAAATACTGCAACACAACAAGGCGCCACCAGAGTTCAAGGCTAGCCACATACTAATGTTTACGTGTTATTATAAAACATTACTGTATTGTTAATAAAGTCAATAAACTAACAAAAGAGTTAAAGTTAAATGGCAACTATTTAGCTAGCATAGCTAGCTAGAAGCTACATTCGCAAAGCTAGCGCTGTCTTTTATCTAATAAATGTTTTTACAGAAATTCCTGTGAGCTAAGGCTTAAATATCGGTTAATTTTAGATTAACATTTTCGTTACAACAATTTAACTTGTTTATATTTTGACAGTCTTCTCTAGTACTACCTTTTACACCATTTCCTTCGAGGACACACTTCATATTTGCTGATGGTTCACCTCAGGGAACTCACTGGAGTAGACAGATGCTAATCTTAAATCTGCTGCATGCTTATTTGCCAACATGAGGGTTAATTTGGTTTGAGGAGGCTCCTCCACGGCCACATGTAAAATTTTACCATTTTATTCACTTCAGAAATGCTTTTTATTTGTTGTTTTAGTCAACAGGAACGGTGACCATTGCTGTCAATGCACCAGTTTGCCAAAAGCTATTTTTTATTTAGGATCTGGACAAATGTTAAGAGTCACACTAAAAAGAATATGACTAAGTTATTAAAATAATCAATGACCATGTAAAGCTAATAAAAATAAAATAATAAAATAAATTTTGGAAAGGATATCATTCAGGACCGTTATGTTACATTGTCAGTTATAAATTAAAAGAAACAAATAAACAAATAAATTTTGATTCTAACTAGCCCTCCTCAAATGAAAAGATTCATATTCTGTAACAAGTGGTAAAATATATGATATTTGATGAAGCTCAAATAAAAGTACAATATTCATAAAATATTCATATATAAAAGAATTCTGTAAATTCTGGCTCACAGGACTCAGGGACAACAGAATATCCAATATTCCAATCCAATATTTATTATTATATCTTGGATAATAACATAATTAAAGATACAAGAACGTTTCTTGACAACTACACACCCAACAAACAGAACTAGAACTGTAAATGCAGTAGTGCTTCTAATATGTGTATGTGTGTGTAAAACTGACTGCAAGCTGTTCCTGGTTAGAGGCATTAAAAGTCAGATTTGAAAAACTGCAACAAAACACGTATTAATACAAAGATAGACATAAACACTCTCTCTGAGGTCACTGAAGCCTTCATAACAGTAAAACCCTTTGCTATCATATCTTGTCATCTGTTGACTATTTTAGGAAGGATGACATCAGAAGTCGCTGTGCTGCTGCCTTTCCTCTGCCCTTGAGGCTTTGCCCTTGCCTCCACATCCTTCCCAGCATCCTTTGTGAACATGCGATTTTCTCTCAGTTGATGATCCCCATACCTCCTTCTGCAGGCGGGATTCTGACCTGGGAGACACAAAACACAATATGAGACAGATAGTGGAGGTCAAAGTTAATGTTTGAGACATTGAGATACACACCTGATTGGACACATGTGTGCAGCACATTGAGATAGTGCTGCTTCATCTGTCGCCTCATGTGCTCTGTACTGTAGACATTTGCTATGCTGCAAAGGTAGCGTCTCTGTCCAGCTGTAAGAGCGGGGTGCTGAGGTAGAGACAAGAACTGATGTGATTGTACATGGCAGAACGACAATAACCTTGTTACATATGAGAAATATAACTATCATAATCACAATGATCTCATTCCAACCATCTTAAAGCCTTTCACATTAAAAATAACAAAGAAAACTAACTTGAGCATCTGTTCCAGCTTCATGTGGTTACCTGTAAGAAGGGTGCAGACATCATAGATTTGGGGATGTGTATTGTCTTCATGTGCTGGCTGCCTGCAGACACATTTATGTGTGTTCCTCTGCACATCTTCCTCACCTGCTGACCAGGTAAACACTCAAGGCCTGCCAAAGGCAACACGCAACATACGACATCTCATTTCTTACAATTTAGATAATCTGCGATAACTCTCTTTATTGGAAATGATTTAATTCCAGTGTATCACAGCACACATTACTGAACTTGTTGTTAAATATATATATATATAAGTAGTGTTTAGGGTATTTAACCTTTACTTGAGCATTTTTATTTTATGCTACTTTACACTTATTCTCCACATTTCAGAAGAAATTGTTGTACTTTTTCCATGCACATTTGATTGAAGTTCACTGAAGTTAAAGATGAGAATACTAATTTCAACACTGGAAATGACATGAAAAGGCCATTATAGTGAGAACAGGTTTAGTTCAGTCATCAAAGAGAAAAACACTTGCAGTTGTTGATGTGTTCACATTCAAATCAACCACTTATGTAATTCAAGAATGAAAACAACAGGTTTATTCATACTTCTAGTCATTTAAAAGAACATTTGACTCACCATCTGTGCATCTCTTGTTAGACTCTACAGACCTAAAAATCAAGAATTTCACCATTTGGAAAATGAATAAATAAATCCACCGATTACATCCATTAGTTCTCAGGTTGTTCTTACCTCATTAAGATGTGACCACTTCCATTTTTTAACAGGTTTTCTTTTTTCAGGTGCTCGACAAATGTAACCCGCTTTCTCATTGTTACGTAAAATCACAATATTTCCTGTCGGTATGTCAGAGAGGTTGCTAGTGCCTTTATCAGTTCAGCATGTTGCAGCCAGCAGAGCCTATTAGTGAGAAATGAAGCCAGCACTGAAATCTGACTCCATTCCCAGGGCTCCAATTACAGAGTAGAGGTCTAATATACTTGAACCCTGAGCGTGTTCTCATCTAAAATGTAAAACACAAACAAAATTACAAGCCACTCTGTTTACACACTTTATTGAGCATCATGTCCAATATACATTGCATTGACACAAAATGAAAAAAAAAAAAATCCCAAAACAAATAATGGCGTTAGGGTGGATTACCTGGACACACCATTTTCAGAGCGTATTGCTTAATGACATTTCAAACGCACCGAATCTGTGCAAATACAGTGAACACCGGTCAGAGGAGGTCATGGTAGGTTAGAAAATTCTGACTTAAAAAGGTAATGTCAACAGCAGTTATGTGATCATCAAGTCTACAGAAATCTACTAACTGTACACATCACATTCACCCAGAATGTACTAACAATGGTATCCTATTTAAACATACCCAACTCCTTCAAACCTGATTGCATGCGCCAAAAGATGGTTAGCTTTTTTTCCTCAATGTCAGTCACAGATCAATCATGTATAACATAATTCAAAATAGATGTCTTCATGGCTTAATAGTCAGCAACACCATCAATGAAAGTGAACAAAAGCCAATGGTTTCCAGACTCCACCCAACACGATTGTGTAAATTCTTTAAAAATAAAACCTATTGTGTTCAATCCCCATCACAACACTTATTTATACTTTACTAAGTGGTGAGTTATCTTATTCAAGTCTCTATCAAGAGTTATAGCCCAAATTCAGTGATAGTAAAGGTGATAAATATTATCTAAGAATGCACCAATCAGAACTCAAGATGTTACTCAACAATCTACCCAGAGTCCTCAGTCTAAACCCACGAGTGAATGTGACTTACAAAAATCATCATTTACCCACACATTGATCAAAAGCCAAAGGTGCCACAACAAAGAAGGTAAGAACAGCTAGCCTAATTCTACGATGGAGCCCCTAAAATATGCCCATGTTAATAGATTAACAACTCAGACAACCATAAACCTCGTCAAATTTGTTCTCCTTTTAAATTGAGGTAAGCTCAGATGCCAGTTAACCAGTACACGTGGAATAATCACAGCTTAGGTTGTTTTCACAGACTTTTTTTTTTTGGTTGTCCATGATTTATAATAACGTTGTGAAAAGACATTAGACTTAAGTGATAATCAATAGACATCTTCACTGACGATGAGGACCACATGTTAAAGGAAAGGGTCAGGAATATTTGAGGTTTATCTTACTGATTGCTGATCGAGACCCTAATAAAGTTTGATCCTGAGAAGTTGGCACGAACCTTCTCTTAGCATTAGCTACGCTTGTGCAAGTCATTATGTTAGAAAACAGTAACTCTAAAATCACTGAGTAAGCCATTCCATTTAAACATCCACGGCTGGCAATGACAGATAACAGAGCTGTTTGAGTGGATCATGCAGGTTTGAGAGTCATGGTTTTATACCTCTCAGACATACACTAGCATAAGAAGAAAACGCTAACAGGAGGCTGTTTCTCAGAAAAATAGACTAAGAAAGTTCTTTAAAAGTTCTCAACCTGTCCCTCTAAACAACAAGCAAACTGTGAGGAAGTGAAGCCAACGAAAGGCAACAGTGATTTAATGACAGTGTTGAAAATAATCGCATCTATTGACAGAGGTTTGCTGGGCCGACATTAATCTGGTGGTAAGTGTGCAGCAGGGAGGACGAGTGATGACCTAATGATAACGGGCTTTCTTTTGTTTTACACAATCTTGACCACTAAATTGCATAAGAAACCTGGTATAAAGTAGAAACTGTTCAGCAGCAGATAAAAAAGCAAGTTAATTTACAGTAGTGACATATCTTACATCATTAATTTTTCAAAATAAATAAAATTAAATATACAATTCCAGGTAGGAAACAGGTTAATTTCGCTGGTAGGGTTCTCAAATTGGCTCATCTTGCGGAAAATGACAACCGTTCAAAGAAACGTGGCTGAAGCCAACCAGTTCCTCTGACTGGCAAAACAAGGGGTGCAAAAGCCTTTTAGTGAAATTTTCCCTCTGAAGGCATTTCCTTTAACTGAAAAAACAAAACACAGAGACAATCATCTTAATTACTGTTACTTCCAAGAGCAAGGTTTCACATGTGCGTCTTAGCTGAAACAAGTCAATTTACTTACCCTGGAATTTACAATTGACTCCTAATCAAATGCCATCTCTTGACTTTTTCTTACACAGCGAGCCACCTTCCTCTTGAATTCACCGTTAGGATCCTCCCTCCACTCTTTCTGTGGGAGCAACATCAGACTTTTTTACTGACACGTCGTCACTTTTTCCTGAACTGCCAAGATTACAAGAATGAAAAAGGGATTTCTAGAGTCAGGGGAATGGAATAAGTAATGTAACTCACCGCAGCATCCACATTAGCTGGCGAATCACTGTTGGGGTCTGCCAGCATGGAGATAACACTAATCATGATTGTCTCTACTGTGTGGATCGGGAGCCAGCGCTCCTCAGGCTTTTCATAACCAAACTTATCTTCTCCTGGCTCGTGCAGAATTGAGATGCAAACGTCCCCGTTCTTTGCAACTGTGAAGAATTGGAACATGAATTTCACAACCAACATAATTTGAAGATGGTTTTCAACAGTAGTGTTGAAAGATCCATTTACATGCCCAGACAAAGTGATCGCAATGTAGATTTGAAGTAAACAAACATCAAAGAGTGAGCTGAAAGTGTTTACCATTTGGGTGCCAGATTTCAGTGATGAACTTCATCTTTGGAGGCCGTAGTGGATAATCATAGGGAAAGGTTAGGTATGCTTTGAAAAACCCTCCTTCACTGCAATTGAGACAAGAAACAGAGCAAATGAGAAATTATGACATTAAATAACTAAAAGGAGTTATTTAAATAAATAATATCAATATATTTTCTCACTTACAAAAGGGTATCTTGTGGACCTATGATCACAACTTCCCATTTGTATATGTCATCATCATCTATCAGACCAGCTGAAAAGCCCTCCACAGGATTCTTGTTGAGCTCTGGCAAAAGAGGAATACAGCGTCTTTTAATACATCCATTCATCGATCCATCCATTAGCTGGACCTGCTTATCCTTGAGGGTTGCACTGGTCGCACTGGGTGAGAGGCAGATTACACCCCGGACACACCACCAGTCAATCACACCCTCCACACAGAGAGGCCCCCGCTGGCAGGCAGGTTCGACCCAGAACCTTCTTACTGTCAGGCGACAGTGCAAACCACTGTCCCACAGTGCTGTCCACTCTTTTTAATACAATGAACAGGAAATGAAATAGAATGATGGTAGACATATCTACATGTGTGACCAAGTAAGTAGTTTGGTAAGAGTTTACAGGGTATGTATGGGAGAAGTCGACATCCAAAGTTGCTTCTTGTTATGTTCACATTCTCTTGGCAAGCATAGACAAAAGGAGGACAGTGAGTGAAGTGGTGGCAGCTAATAATCTACCAAGCCAATTGGTAAATTAACAAATGAATTTCACAAATTAGCTCACACAATATTCCATTACAGCCAGTTTACAGAGGGAGTTAAAAAAAAACATTTTTAACAGTGATCCTGGATTTGGTGAATGTCAGAAAAATGCTTTGGAACCAAAACTCCTTTGCTTGGCAAAGAGTGTGTTAAGAAATGTAAACACACAACTGGGATTTGATCTCATTTTAAAATAGGCCACAACCACACAACACCAGTAAAGAGTAGCTCCTGCACTGTAACCACTAGCAGAGGATCATGAAAACGCAGCACAGCTATAATGATGGAGGTATTGGTAAATATGAAGTGGATGTTTTTCTTTCTTGTTAACTGCTGATGATACAAACTCTACTGTGGAGAAGCTTCTTGAAATGTTGAGTTCACAGCAAATTAATGACAGAAAGTAGAATCAGTAGTAAGGGCTGTATTAGCCCCACTGATATGGGCTTCTGACTAGCAGCCCACCATAAATCTTCTGTATTTAAAATAGGTGCCTCAAAACAATTTCCAGCATTACTATTTACTGATGTGCTTGAAGCAATCCTCTAGTATATCTTTTGTTTAGGAGATTTACCATTGAGCTGTGTTTAAGAATAGATAAGCATTGAGTTTGAGTTTTAGTGTTTTGTATCATGTCATAATATTTAGTGAAATGACATGTTAAAAAGATAACTCACTTCGTCACTTTGTAGAAGAATAAGTAATAGTCTGACAAGTTAATTCTGTGCATATTAAGTTTGGCTAATGTTTACTGAATCAAATCATGGTTTCCAAAATAATTACTGTTGAAGTGAATCACCAACCTGAAGAACTGCATTGATTCAACCACAGTGATTCACATTCCCACACACAAAAAGACCAACATTAGCATGTTGTACAATCAGTGCAAGATGTTAATCAGTCATAGAGATTATTGATATTGGCCTGTCTATTTTTTAAAGCAGTGGATACAGTGCTAGAGGGTTGCTATCATTTCAGCACTATTAGGAAAACCCTGAATCCTGTCCACATTCAGTGGTTACAAACCACAGTAACTTAAAACAGTAGGTCTAACTTTATCAAAGCAGACCAGTTTGACTATTGTGCACATATGGGCTAAAATATGACTGTAATCTTTATAGACTTATATGTTGTTTGGACTGTTGACCCTCATAATATTGTGATATAGGTCAGATATGTTTTCCTAATCTTGTAGGCTGCATTAGTTTCTTACCTTATTTGACTTTTGCTGTTATATTAAAAATGACTAAGCTTATTTTCTCAGAGACCACCGTCTCCTTGCTAAAATTAATTATTGTATAACCCCACCATAGTTAAAAACAGAATATATGCGCATCATCCATATGAAGGTGCTGAGTCAAACACTGTAATGAATTTAGCAATAGCTGCTATAATGAGTGCCAGCAACAATCATGCTGTTTTTTTGTATCGTCAAAAAACTGTGATATATTCTAAGAAAAAAAAAGAAAAAGAAAAAGAAACAAATCTGTTTATAAAATAGCCCATTCATTTATATAGCCGACTCGGGAGACAGGCATCCAGACGCTGAACCGGACTGTCAGTGAGCTGCAGACCAAACAGGGTATTGGTATCTCAGTGTCCAGGTCCATGTGTCTGGCATTAAAAACAAAAGACACACCACTGCGACCACCAGTAATAATAATAGTGAAAATTCTCAAAATGAGGCAACAGGAGAAAAAATACGAGTTTGTATGTTGAAGGCTTCAACACTGAGATGCGCATTCTGAAAAGCCGCTACAACTAAGCAGCGTTACAGTCTGAGCCCGATTTGACATCACAAACACCAGATATTATCTTATATAGCTAGGCGGTGAGTTTGTAATTTTAATCAGTTACTACTGATATAGTCGCATATTTGTCTATGAAAGGCTCAGATTTTATGCTGCTATCATTAGCAAAGCTAAAGTCTTCAGAGCAGATGAGTCCCTGGATTGATTATTCCTTTGTTCCGTCAGCTAACTAATGTCGAACTTGCTAGCCCGCTAGCAAGGTTGGCGATGCAATTCATTTGATGGTTCAGATATAATTTTATTAGAGCCACGTATACCTAGATATATATATCTTTATTTCTCATCAGAGATTAGCTAATCACAGCAGCTTAGCCACACACTGGACTGCAGTGATAAAGGAACCCATTATGTTGCTTGGTTAGCTTTCTGAGCTTACTCCTATGGCGTAAACATAGCTTTGCGTAGCTAAAAAAAAGCTAACGTTAGCTGCTAGGTAGGTGGCCATTATATAGACAATATTGGCTTTCAATGCTGTATTCATATTACCTGCCAGTTGTTTTCGAAGAAGTAATGCTGATTGTTCGGTCATGGTACGCGGACGTAATTGAAAAACACTTTGTGTCGACAAATACTTTCCCGAAAAATAGGTAAAGCTGGAGTCGAGAAGAGATGTTGCACTGCCTGCTGCTGCTTTCCCTCTGTGTTTTGACACAAGGTTCAGCTGCTGGCTTTAGCTGTGCGCATGCGCGTCTGCAGTCGCCTGTGTGTGTGTGTGTGTGTGTGTGTGTGTGTGTGTGTGTGTGTGTGTGTGTGCGCGCGCGCGCGCGTGTGTGCGTGTATCTTTAGGGAAACGTTTCTTGAGAAATCAACAGGCAGTAAAAAGGCAAACACTGTGTCCAGCCTCCTTAACACTGACCTGATTTATGAGTGATATGTAATCAACTACATTTCAATGCCATTAGTTCCCAGACAACAAGGTTATGATTCCATCTGAGACACCCAGTACTGTGCTGTATGTCTCAAGCCTCAGCAAAGGGATCATCTGACATCAATGCTTTGTTGTCTCTTCTCTCTTCTTCTGACTGGTTCACTGTTTGTTGTGTTTGTGGTGTTTTATTGTGGTTTGGTCTGTACGATGACCTTATGACCTTATCTGTTTTTATTATCTCATACAAATAGATTTGAGTAAACCAGTTCTTCCCAAATCATCTTGTATGAGTTTATAAAATTGTCAAAAAGTAAACCCAATTTTTAAAAAGGAGATAATTGCGAATCTTTTTTCTTTTTTTAAGTATTGTGTTTATGGCATGTGTTTTGATAATGCAAGTTTGAAGAAGTAATTTTATTTAAAAAAAATGTTGCGTGTTTTCCTTTGATAATTGTTGGCCAAATTTTTTAGCTTCACATTTATTTACTTAATTAAAAATATTGCTGCAGCAAACAATAGAAGATGGCTTCCAGACTATCGGGAAATGTGAGTTTCAACGTCCTACCTTGAAGCCTTGAGAAGGCGAATAAAAAGTTTTTTTCTTGTCCGTGAAATATAACTTTTGATTTATTCTTCATTAAATAAAAATACACTAAGTAAAAACCGACATTGTTAGCCAAAGTCACACAGGTTCTCCGAAGATGTCGTATTTACGAGCATCGTTGTTGAAAGTACGAGGTTGTGAAGTGCACCTCAAGGCAGCACTATGCGGAAGGAAGGGTGTTCGGCGCCATATTTAATACATCAGAAGCTAGGTAGCCTTAGCTGTTTACAAGCCCAAACTTTTAACTTCCGACAGAAACCTAAAGCAAGCCCTCAACTCAACTGAAAATGAATGTAATAGATCATGTACGGGATATGGCTGCCGCTGGCCTCCACTCCAATGTCCGGATATTGAGCAGTTTGTTGCTGACGATGAGTAATAACAATCCGTAAGTAATGTCAGAGCGGGGTCCGTCTATTTCCTGAAGAGTGATTTCCTACACCAGCATTTTTGTTGTCAGTCTGTGACAGTCAATAATAACTAACATTAATAATTGTAACCGTAAAGCAGAACAGATGCCTGCAAAATGCTCGGCCCATGTAATGACATTAGTGAGATTTTTTGTTTATATTACTGAGCGGACAAAGTGTACGTTCGTTTCCAAGAAATAGTCATATGTCGAGTCTCTTGTTCAGTGGTACCTGATATTAGCTGACAGCTTGAATTATTGTGAATTTAACCGATCAGCGAATATCGCATAGGAGGAAATGACACATATCGGTGATTATTTGCTTTTTGACGGCTTTGTAGTGTGATTGATTTAAAACCAGTGGTTATGTAACGGTTTTACTGTCAGTGTTTTTGTTCCGGCGCAGCACAACATCCGTAGGAGATAGCTGAAGCAGGATGCTCCTTGTCTTTATACAAACTTCATGGATTACTTTGTACACTTCTGTGGTTTTGATCAATTGACACTCTCTCTGCTGCTAATATGGTTTATATTGAGAATATGCTTCATTAATGTGGCTGGTTTTATATGTTTTTATGAGGCTGTTTCTATTCTGTTTCTTTTATATTCTGTTTCTCTACGACCATTAAATTCTATGTGCTATTAGCATTTCTGACACGTTACATTATGATGTGTGCAACTGAGAGACAATTTTCTACGTTGATTTTGATAACTTTACTATTTGTATCGTTTTGACTTTAGAGAGCTGTTCTCACCGGCCCAGAAGTACCAGTTGTTGGTTTACCACGCTGATGCCATATTTCATGATAAGGAATATCGTAATGCTGCCTGCAAATACAGCATGGCACTGCAACAGAAGAAGGTGCTGAGCAAAACATCTAAAGTTCGTACATCTACTGGTGGAGCAGCATCTAACATCCAGGCACAGGTGTGTTTTATAAAAGTTAGCATTTTTCTGCTTAAGATTGATGCACCTCAGTGTGTGTCCTTGCAGATTCACACAGACTGCAGGATGCAGTTATTGTAGAAATATTTGTTTCCATTTGGTGTTTTGATAATAGCATTATACAATATTTTGGCCCTTGAAGGACAAGAAACAAGAAAATTTTGATGTAAAAATTTTGAGACAGGTTGCTTTTCCCCTGGCCATCATTTACTGTGTATTAAAGTATAAAACGTGTGGTTTAAAAGTTAGGACATTTCTCTTCCAACATGTCTTCTGTGCTGCAAGTTTGTCTCCACATTTAGATGTCATGTGCTGCCATTGTTGACAAAATCCATACCACTGACTGGTCAAGAAGTGCGAATGTTAATAGAAATATGTACAATTACACCGAATCTTTCAGAGTTTGCCATCAGAAATTGAGGTTAAGTACAAGATAGCTGAATGCTACACCATCTTGAAACTGGACAAAGATGCCATTGCAGTGCTTGATGGGATTCCATCCAGACAGAGGACTCCAAAGGTAGGCTGCTGCTATTATAGTTATTGTAATTGACCTTTTTCATGCTTCATGTGCCTTTTTTTAATACAGACCATCAGAGTAAGGCCATGTAGCCATGTCTTTATCTCCATGTGCACTGATGTACACAAAGCTTTCTCTGCATTCGACTGCTGGTAATTTATAGCAACAAACAATCTATTGAAGAATGGATGCACCTACAAGCTTTGAGGTCAAAATAATGAAGCAGTAATCAGTTACTATTTTATTGTTGTAAAAATAAAAGCCACAAGGGCAGTAAGAGTAAGTGATAGAAGACTTTCCTGCTGTTCTTTGATAAATGCTGCTAAACTGTGGCAAATAATTAGAAGTAGCGTCATGATCATAATATGAAGCAAAACAATAATTTATCATTTTGCATTACGTCTGCAGAGTTTTAGTCCAGTAGCTTGTGTAGAGTCCAGTGATAAAATTGATGTTTTTCTTCTTTCTTGTCTTAGATCAACATGATGTTAGCTAACCTGTACAGGAAGGCCGGTCAGGAGCGTTCTGCTGTGACAAGCTACAAAGAGGTTCTCAGACAGTGTCCCCTCGCCCTGGATGCAATCATTGGTATGCATGGTTACCTGCTGAGACACTTAAGTCTGTCTGCTGTCTTTACACGTCTAGATTCTTAAATGTGTCGTACCAGTGCAGTACCTGTTCAGAATGTGCCTGTTGGTAGCAGCTGATTGCTTGGGCTGCATTGGTCAAGTCTATGCATGTAAAATGACCCGTGACAGAATGAATGTAAGGAGGTACAGAGCCCCCTTGGGGCTGGTTGGAAAAGAAAATCCATGTGTAAACGTGTTGGCTCTTGGTTTACAAATCTGTGCGCTCAGTTCATAAGCCGTGCTCCTGGATTCATAGTCTGTGCCCTCAGATTTGTAAATTGTGGTTCTTGGATCTACAGTATGTGTTCGAATGACTTTGTTTGCGAGTGAAAAGTAAGTAAATGCAATGTTACACAACAGAAGAGGTGAAACGTCCAATGCACGACACAGTATATGATGCGGTAGAGTTCTACCTCTCTTAAGATCATGGCATGTGTGCGCTGTAAATTGTCTGGGTGCTGCACTGTCCCTCATATTCTGGTTGCACCCTTTTCTTCACGTCGAGTTAAATGTAGAAAAGCAACGTTTGAAGCTTTTCGAGAACCGCTCATCCAAAAAATTTCAAAGTCGACACTGCAGTTGTTTGAATGAGCAGTTGTCAAGACAATCAAACTACAGACAGAGATTCCTCCATTTATAGTTCGATGTGTATTAAACTTCAGGACTGTTTTATAGATCTGTTTGTGAAAAGTGCTCTAAATTAAATTTAGCTTTTTTCCCCCAGGTCTTCTTTCTCTATCAGTCAAAGGAGCTGAAGTGGCATCCATGACTATGGATGTGATCCAGAGTATCCCCAACCTGGACTGGCTCTCTGTTTGGATCAAAGCTTATGCCTTCATACATGCAGGGGACAATCAAAGAGCCATCAACACCATTTGGTGAGGAGACTAATTACTAATACAACAAATTTTTCATACCAAGTGACTGAATGTGCCTCTCAACACAAGAGTCTATTAATTTGATGTATGTCTCTGTCCCTCTCTCATCCTGTCTCAGCTCTCTGGAGAAGAAGTCTCTCCTGCGGGACAACGTGGACCTCCTGGTGAGCCTGGCAGATGTCTACTTCAGGGCAGGGGACACCAAAAACGCCATCCTCAAATTTGAACAAGCCCAGATGCTGGACCCATATCTCATCAAAGGTCTGCTGCTAGTATCAGGCACAAACTGTGAAAATTAAGTTTAATTCAGTTGAATTCTTATTTTACCTTCACGTTTTGATTGACAGTCAGTGTCAGTGTTTACATCTGATATACATTAGTCTAAATGACCCCTAAACAAGACACGGAAACATGGGACTTTCTGTTATCTCGGTAACATATCTTTTGCTTGCACCTGCAGGGATGGATGTTTACGGCTACCTGATGGCCCGTGAGGGACACCTGGAGGACGTCGAGGTGTTGGGAGGACGATTATTTAATATTTCAGACCAGCATGCTGAACCTTGGGTGATCTCTGGGTGAGTCTTCATAGAAAAAATTCTGCTATGTGAAATATTATCATCTTGTTAAGTTTTTGTAATCCTTTGAATTCGTGTCTGTCGTTCAGCTGTCACAGCTTTTATAGCAAGCGTTACTCCAGAGCCCTCTACCTGGGAGCCAAGGCCATCCAGCTGAACAGCAACAGTGTGCAGGCTCTCCTCCTGAAGGGGGCGGCATTGAGGAACATGGGTCGTGTTCAAGAAGCCATCATCCATTTCAGAGAGGCCATGCGTTTGGCACCCTGCCGACTCGACTGCTATGAAGGCATGCTTGTTTGTTTGTTTGTTTTTTTTCTCAAATATGTCCTTCAAGCAGTGCATTTCTGTTCTGCTTGCACTGACGTTACTGTCTCATTTCCAGGTCTGATCGACTGTTACTTGGCATCCAATGGGATTCGAGAGGCTATGGGGATGGCGAATAACATCTATAAGACTCTGGGGGCCAATGCACAGACTCTGACCATCCTTGCCACTGTGTGCCTGGAAGATCCTGTGACTCAGGAGAAAGCCAAGACCCTGCTGGACAAAGCACTGGCCCAGAGGCCTGACTACACCAAGGCTGTGGTCAAAAAGGCTGAACTGCTGAGTACGTACAACACATAGATCTGCTGATACATCTGCACCACCATTATACTCATTTGAATGTAGAGGTGGAAATGAAGTGTTTTTTTTTGTTTGTGAAGGTCGGGAACAGAAATATGAAGAAGGGATTGCTCTTCTCCGGAATGCCCTGGCCAATCAGAGTGATTGTGTCCTGCACAGAATGCTGGGAGATTTTCTGGTGGCTGTCAATGATTACCAAGAAGCCATGGATCAATACAGCATAGCATTAAGGTAACAACTGACATTTAGTTTTACTTCTAATATTTCTTGGAGAAAATGTTGTTTTAAAAGTGTATTTTTGGCCACTTTATGACCAAAGATCAGATTTTTTTCTAACTTTCAGTCTGCGTTTCTATCTTTTCCTTCCTAAGCCTGGATCCCAATGACCAGAAGTCTTTAGAAGGCATGCAGAAGATGGAGAAGGAGGAGAGTCCAACAGACGCCACGGTGGAGCTGGACGGTGACGACATGGAGGGCAGCGGAGAGGACGGAGACCTGGAGGGCAGCGACAGTGAAGCCGCGCAGTGGGCCGATCAGGAACAGTGGTTTGGGATGCAGTGACCCCGGGACGCTGAGGGACTCTCGGTCAGTACCACCTTCTAACACGCTGCAGCCTGTGGGAAGCATTCAGCCATCAGGGTGGTCAAACAGAAGAAGGGGCCGTACTGCTCCGCACACCTCACATGATCACAAAGGGTCACACCAAGTGACTGACGATGCCAACTTTAGCGACGATGCAGCTGAGACTGATGCCCTGGTTTGCAGAACAGCTGCAGGAGGACTTCAGTGCAGCTTAGTGCAGAACTCCAGCCATTTTTGACCTGATGTTTTCCCATTATAATGAGTCTTATCAGCCACTTCACTGTGGAGCTGTTCAGTACAGAACCAGCAGATACTCAAGCCCAGTGTAAATCAAGATGTGTTGTTCAGTAACTTCTTGCTCACACTGTAGTAACGTGTTTGTGACAATGAAGTAATATTTCTGATGCTACTTTTGCTGTTTCTTTGTTTCATCTTTGCTGCCAGTCAGTGCTTCTCTGAATGAATGGACCACTGGTCCGGGTAATGCAACTAAAGTACAACTTCAAACTGAATATAGTTGCTACAAAGTGTATCAATAAAAACCCGCTTTGGAGTGTTTCCAGGCAACTGGTGTGATGGGAAATTTTGTTTAGGCCACAAATAGCTGGGGTTGTCCATGGCGTGTGTTGGAGAAGGGACTGGCAGAGATTTTTAATTTGTGTTTTGTTTGAGCCTGACACTCACAGAGGAAGTTTGCCACAGAGGAAGCAAAGTGTTAACATCAAATTATCACAACTTTGTCTCTGGCAGGTAAACAGGTCTGTGATAAAGTGGCCGCGTACCATTTATCTGCTGCTCTTTTAAAATGTAACAATTTTTTTTTTTTTTAGTTTTGTGTCATGTACATGTGTTATGTTGTTTCTTGAGTCTGCCTTTCTGTATCAAAATATAACTCAATGATTGGCTCATTTTTAAGTTGAGAAGTGTTACATAACCATTTCAGGACAAATGTTTATAGTATTTTGTACATATTTTTAAAATGTAAATTAAAACTATTAAACACTCACTTGACATGAATGTCGTCGTCCTGTGGTAGACTGTTTAAATGACACCAGGAAAAACATTCAGTAAATAATGTATGACAGTTTTATTTACCTGAAACCAAAGTTCATGTGATACATTGTACAATCATCTCTGAAAATACAGTACAGCAGTTTGGCAAAAAATGCCAATCGAGGGACTGCCTGCCGTTCTCATAGTAAAACGTGTGCATCGCTGCACCGCTGCACGTCTGCCTTCAAGATATGGCAAAATCTGCTCCAAACATGTTGCACATCTCAGTGCAAAGCAAAAAAACAAGTCTGTTTGGTTTTTTAAATATCCCATAAAAGTATTTCCTTAGGAAAGATGAACTGTGTTTTTGAGCTTATTTAACATTTGTACTAATCTGACGAACGTCTATTCTATTTACCAGTACTATACATTGTCTAATACACAAGTCTGGTAAAACAGATGGCTGATTGAGCAGACATGCACCATGGAGTAATGTACAATTTACTGTACACAGTACTAAGATCTTAGTCTAAAAAGATGGCATGAGGATTGTGTCAATCTAAGGCTCTTCATGCAGGAGAATGGAAGGACTGATGAGGTGGGATTGGCTAGTTTTCATCAGACATTTATTTATGGCCATTCTATAAAAAGGATGTATGAACTTTATGAGCCCCTGTCTTCATATCACTTAACTGACATGCAGCTCCTGTAAGATGTGCAGCCCACAACACACATGCACAACACAAAACAAAACCAAAGTTTCTGGAAGTAATTTAGAGTAGAGGTGGGGCTTACTTGGCCTTTGCTGCAAAGAAAAAGAAGAAAGGAAGAATCAAATCAACGGACACAGGAATCACAGGCCAAAGTAAAAGCATCTGAGCGGCAAATAATTTTTGGATTCATCAATACTGGTTTTCAATAAAGGGTCATGCTGTGGGCAAGCAGAAGATCAGGACAAAAGAAATAAATAAAACAATAACACCATGTCCTGTAATGTAGTCCTGTAGTGTGGGCACTTAAAGGTCACCCTCTATGTAAGGTGCCCAAACATGCTGCCAGTCTACAATCAGAAACAACCAGCACCAGTGACACTGTGCCAGTTTAAAAAGCAAAAGGCTCATATTTCTCCTCAGCATGTACCTGGCACTTGGTGACATTGAAGACATTTCAACACAAACTCAAACATCTACATTCTCTCCTCTTTTGTACCATTTAATTTATACGTTTACAAACTGCTCGTCCGTTACTGCTGTCATTTTCATACGAGCAGCTGCAGACTGTAAAAGCTGTGTGTGCAACCACATACAGATGAGAATGCTAGTAGTTGGCATGCAGGTCAAAGTGTACTCACTCTGCAGGTTAACAGGTGGAAGGCATTGGAAGAAACAAATGTTAGCTTTGAAACTAAAAGAAAAAAACCTCAGCACTCACAGGCCTGGGATTACTGGAGCAGTCATGCAGGGAGGCTAAGACCACGCTTAAGAAAACTAGTGTGAAGCTATGGAGCAATTTGTCAACAACAACAACAACAACAAAAAAAAAAATCTATACAGAGATTCTACTTTGTGTGCTATGTACAGATATACAGACTCTTCCAATGACGGGTCATTTCAGCCTTTCAGAGGTCTCAGTTCCCGGTGAACTGTCCATGTTGTGCTCAGCTGATAAGACTAACAGCTTCTTGGTGCCGTTTTACATATTCAGGTACAGTATGTGCACATTTTACATACATTATAAAGATTAAGATGCAAAATTAAGACTGAAGGTTGAGACTGAATCTCAAAAATGAAACTTGAAAAAAAGAAAAGAAAATCAAGACAAATGTGTTTGCTTCAAGTAAATAAATTTAACAACAGGCTGTATCAAAAAATGCTCTGAACAACACTGGGGACATAACTCCATCCCCCTCCTACTCCCTCCAATAACAGAGAAAAGAAAAATATATTAAACATTAAAATGTGTGTGAGGGCATTTGTCTCTACAGCAAAACAAACTGGTGCTTACCTCAACACTTCAAATGATAGTCTATAAAATGATAGTTAAGACAGATGGGTAGTAATGTGGATATTAACAGCATTGAGGTAGCTGTGCTCTGCCTAATGCAGAAAATAATGAATGACCAAGATGCATGGAGCTCAAAGAATGACTATAGAGATTGGTGCTGGGGCAAATAGATTCAAGTCTTTGCCCCAGAATAAGTATTGTAGTATACGGTCCTCACGTTTACATCCTCTTCACACCCAACAATCTTGTCCCAACAGCCCCTCCCAAAAATTACAAAATATTAATTATTATAAAATAGTGTAAATTCTCTGTACAGCTCAACACACAGCTCCAACACGGTGGGCATCTCTAACTGTTCAAAACAGGGGATCAAAAGAGAGAAAAGCGTGATGGTGAAATAAAACATAAGGACATAATGTCAGTCAAGTCATTAAACAATGACTAAACCCACGGCCCCTCCCCCATCCCAAAAATATGTAATGGTGAAAATGTCCTAAATACAAAAGATCTGCCAGCAGACAGGCTGTCAGAAGGGGGCGCAAGTGTTGACTGTAAGTTGTTCTGAGTTACTGTAACTGTGTTAAATGTGTGTGTTAATGTCCACTTCACACTGGTGCACAGGGGGAGGGTGTACTGGAGTCAGTCAGGGCCACAACATGGCGGACACATTAGTGTCAGTGCTGTAGATCCACAGCACCAGAGGCAGGGAGATGGCCACGAAGGGCCAGGAGATGCCATCAGCACATGCAGACAGAGAGCAGCCTTTGCCGGCTGGTTTCTCAAGCTGTTTACCAAAATCCAAGTAGTTCCTGGCCATAAACTTTAGCAGCTCATCCAGCAGGATGACTGGCAGGGAGATCTTCAGCACCATCATCCACTGGGTTGTGTCCAGAGGGGTTATCTGGAAGATGACCTGGGAGAGAGAGCGACGGCAGCCGTGATTGAACGTTACAGCCTTTTAATTGCACAGGATTATACATGTATGCGCTGTTTATGAGAGGAGATAAACCTCTACAGTGTCACTGTCACATCCCAGCACCATAATGGTGAATGGCGTCTATTGGCTCGGTAGCTAAAGGAACAGTCTGACATTTTGGGAATACAGAAAGGCTGAAATATATGCAAAAATAATATTTCGATTATTTTCACAGATTGTGATTGTGGTATGAGTCACGACTTCAGCTGAGTGTTCATTTTCACTGAAAAAAATATTAAAAATGATGATGATTTTTGTTTTGGCTTATACCAAACAAGCATGTTCCTTTATGTCTGGAGAATATGATTCGTCGGACGGGGGCGTCTCTGTAGCTCCACAATGCTTCATTTATGATATGTTGTGAAACATTTGAGCCTTATCATAGATAATCGCAGCTCCTGTGACTTGGATACTGCAGTCAACCATATTTCGATTTCAATGGTTTTTGATTAATTGTTCGGCCCTTGAATACACCTGTTCTTTCTTGCACAGATTGAGATGAAAGACTGACATCATGCTCACATCTGTACGGTTAATATCAAAGCAAATAACAATATTTCCCAAAATGTCAAACAATTCCTTTAAGATTCATACCATATACTGTGATCAGAGTGTCTCAGGTCTGACTCCAGCTAGGGACATTTGTTATGTCGTACCCCTCTCTCCCTCTACGATGCCTTAAAATCTCTTTAGCGCAGAGGTATTACAAAAAGAAAGGAGATCAAGTGATGACAGTTCAATCTAGAAAATTAAGAGCTTGTGAGATGTAGTCAATTTTAAATTCAAGAAATTTTCACTCATCTCCATTACAAAACTGTAGTGAAGCCTGACAACCACAAGGGGGCAGAAAGACCCACATAACTCATGAACCTGAAGGAGTCACCAGCTGGACCAGCAAGCAGCCAGCTCCTGTCTGACTTTTATTTTTAAAATCACTTCAATCAAAATTCAACAAACTGCTTTTGCTAAACTCACAGGCAGAGGTTCCACATAGAGGATGAGGAAGTGGAGGGACATGGAGAGGCAGATGGCCCCCAGCAGCCAAACATTCTCCCAGGGAGGCATCCGCAGCAGGGACTGGTTCTCTGACAGACTGGACAGGAGAGAACACAGGTGGTTCAATTGTACAGTTCGCTCTCCATCTTCTGAGAGCAAACGGTTCTTTGATGAGAGCGTTTCCACTCTGAGAGGCGGTTACCTGTTCAGAGCATTGCACATCTCGATGGTGACGAGCACAGAGAGGGCCATGGTCATGGGGTAGGGCGATTCGAACACGTGGCAGTCCAGGCCGTCGAACTCGGGGTTTTCCGGGCCGCACTGGAGGAAGTGGCTCTGTGGGGAGGAGTGCAGGAGAGTGAGGGGGGAGGCAGAGAGTTGAGGGAGCTGAAGGACAGTTTCTCAGACGGGCAGACTTACCAGCTGGTACAGAGTGAGTTGAGGTCCATCGTCAGAGACTGTAAACCACCAGGCAGCGGCTCCCACTGTGGCAGCACCCACATAGCCTGAGACCAAAGTAACAGCATTATCAAATGACTCAACTTATCAAACTGCATGAAGGCAGATTAAAGGCCCTCCTGATGCTATTACAACAAACCTCCAATGGCTAAGTATCTGAAGAAGAGCCAGCCAGAGATGAGGGGCTCCTTGGCGTTGCGGGGAGGCTTCTCCATGATGTCCAGATCTGGGGGGTTGAAGCCGAGGGCGGTGGCAGGGAGGCCATCTGTCACCAGGTTGACCCAGAGCAGCTGAACTGGGATCAGAGCCTCAGGGAAACCCAGCGCAGCAGTGAGAAAGATGCTTTCAGAAGAAATGACTCCAATTAGAAAACCCTGCAATAAGCTGTCCATCCTTTTAAATGTTATGCACCAAAATAAAAACAATTCTACAGTCATCTGCTCCTGAGGAGACTCACCAAACCACCTCTCCCACGTTGGACGAGATGAGGTATCTGATGAACTGCTTCATGTTGTTGTAAATAGCTCTGCCTTCTTCAACGGCGGCCACAATGGAAGAGAAGTTGTCGTCGGCGAGGACCATCTCAGAGGCTGACTTGGCCACGGCAGTGCCAGAGCCCATGGCGATGCCGATCTCTGCCTTCTTCAAAGCAGGGGCATCGTTCACTCCATCACCTGTCTGTAGACAAACCTTTTGTTATTGAGAGCCCCTCCCTGTTCTGCGACACCAGCAAATCTGCACATGATGCAAGTCCAACAAAGCAAAATAAAGAAGCAAAATGTTTGTCTGTAATAATGATCACTGTAAGAAACCCAGAACAGCTTCCAGACTTCATACCATCGCAGTGATCTCGTCAAATCCTTGCAGGAACTCGACGATCTTGGACTTGTGGGAAGGCTCAACGCGGGCGAAGCAGCGAGCATGAGTCACCGCCTCCCGCTGAGTGTACGGTGAGAGTTCGTCAAACTCTCGTCCGGTGAAGGCCATGCGCTCAATGTCGTCCTCCTCGGTGAGGATGCCGATGCGGCGGCAGATAGCCACAGCTGTGCCCTTGTTGTCCCCGGTGATCATGATGACGCGGATGCCGGCCTGGCGGCACAGCATGATGGAGGCGGCCACCTCCTGTCTGGGAGGGTCAAGCATGCCGACACAGCCGACGAAGGTCAGGTCGGACTGGACACAGAGAGACAAAGACATGACTCAATGTTTGGTACTGCACAGAATACAGCAAATTACAGCAAACACCCAACAACTGTACCAGAAAGTGAACACTCACCTCATACTCCGAGAATTTGGCGGTGTCGGACAGAATCATGTCCTCCATTTTGGGTGGGCTGTCTCTTGTGGCCAGAGCCAAGCACCTTAGGGTGTCACGACCTGTCCCGTACTCACGGATCACAGACATGATCTTTTCTTTGATCTCTTTGCTGAGGGCAACTTTGCTGTTTCCAACTCTGACATGAGTGCATCTCTCAATGACTCCCTCTGGGGCGCCCTGTGGGGAAGAACAGAGGAATAAAATATTCATAACATGGTAGAAGACTGTCGGGCATCAAAAGCAACGCTGTCAACAAGTCCCTGCTTCATGTTTCTTTCAGCGTACCTTGACAAACATCTTGCCCATGGATGAACGAGACTTGTTGGGGGTGCAGTAGACAGACATGGACTTCCTGTCTCTGGAGAACTCGAGGGTGAACTCCTTCCTCATCAGCTGCTTGATCACCTGATCACACAAAAGGACAGACAGGGTGAGAGAAGCTGCTGAGTGGGAGCAGTGGAAATGTGCAGTGTGAGCAGGTGAGGGAGTTGCTGTCACTCACCGAGTTGCAGGCGTTGGCTCTGTCAATCTTGGACAGGTTGTGGACTTCAGTGTCGAAGACGTTCATCTTCTCCACCAGACAGGTCAGTGCGGTCTCTGTGGCCTCGCCGACCTTCTCGTACACACCCTTCACCTGAGACATCAAAAATGCTTTATTATATTTTTTTTATATTAATTTTTATTTTGTTCTATTTATTATAAATATTTTTTTTTTAATTTTTCTTATTTGAGTGAACGTATTTTATCACAATTGGTTTTCGTTTGAATCTTCATACATATGACTAATTTACACCATGTATTGCAGCGCTGTAACTTTGCATTGCTGTTGTGTAAAGTCCTTAAGAAAGGGAATAAAAATCCTATTGTAAAGTAGTACACTGTACACTTGTGACGTAACGGTAGAAGCAGGCAGGGTTCAGACCTCATTGAAGTCCAGGGAGGAGTCGTTACACAGGGCACAGATGGTAGCCAGTTCAACCAGAGCATCATGCTGGGAAGACTTCACTTGTTTTCCATCCTGGTACCTGAGGGTAAGCACAGAGTATTTAGCCTGCGAGTGTTTGTGTGTACTTGATATAACAGAAACAGAAACATTCTCCAATTCTCCTTTCTGTCGTCTCCATTCAAGTGTCTGCAGGTTTAAATATCATCTATAACCCTATATTTTCCCTTTAACCTACAATTCCCCTACCGTTAAATTAAATGAGATATTTCAGCTTTCATCTGGATTTGCAGAGTCAGCTGTAAAGTACTCACACTTCTCCCTCAGGTGCGTAGGTAGAACCTGTGATGGTGAACTCGGACAGAGAGCAGCTGTCACCTTCGGCTTTGTTGACGGTGAACATCTGGAGATCAAAGGGGCAGATGGGACAAAAACAAAAGAGTTTTTTCCCCAAAGCACACATCTTTTAATGCCATGATAACTCTTGTATCAGCTTCCAGTTTCTTTACTGTCACAGCAGGTGGCAGCAGAAACCACAGAAACCCAGAGTGGATGGAGAATAATTAGCCTGCAGTGTTACAGAGAGTGACTCTGTGAGGGCTCGGCTGGGTGGCCGTCTGCCTAATGTGAGAGAAGGGTGTTTAGTTTCTCTCCAAAAGTAAACAGAAGAAACTGCCAGTGAGCCTGAGTAAAGAGAGAAGCTGTGCCCAAAAGGAAGAAGCTGCAGTGCCAAGAAGCTTCATCCTCTCACACACACACACACACACACAAACAGACACACAGACACACACACAAACAGACACACAGACACAGACACAGACACACACACACACACACAGTAACACAAAGTAACAGAGGTTATGGCAATCGGAAATTTTCATTAAAATATGTTGGAGACAAATATATATTTGAAATAATTGCATGGTGCAAATATTTTCTCTTTTCAGCGGTTAATATATGTTTCACTGTGAGTCACTATGAACCACAGAAAAACAGCAGTAATTGCAGTATTGTATTTAATCAAGGCCTCCACAACATGCAGCCCAAACAAAACAAAGAAAACAGAGAGCCAAACAACAGTTTGATAAAAAAAACTGTCACAAGTCTAATTCAGGCTTTGCCAAAGTTCTGAGAAAACACTGAACAGGCAACAAAGGAGGATTAAACTTTATAAATGCTGAAATGTCTTCTCAATGTGGAGCCAAGTAGCACCAGGGTGCCACTCACAGAGAGAGGAAGAGAGAAAGGAACTACAGGCTGACTGCTTTGCAGCTCGGTGACGCAAGGTCAGTTATGCAACAGCAGCTCTGCAAGTCATCCAACAGCTCAATGTAGATTAGAGGAGTTGCAGCATGCTGCCGTCTTGTTTAATAACCTGGATACCTGATCACAAGGAATACTCCACTCTCACTGTTTGCACAAACTGTATTACCATTTTAGCTGACTAATGTATTGGAAGAGACGTCCACAGTCACAGTCTCTCTAACTGCTGTCACCTTATCCAAACAACAGGCAGCAACAACAACGATGACAAAGCACCAACTACCTAACTGTTCAGCAGTGCACCAAGAGTTTGTGTGTATGACTCACTCTGCAGACAGACATCTGGTTGGTGGTCAGGGTTCCCGTCTTGTCAGAGCAGATGACAGAAGTGCAGCCCAGGGTCTCTACAGATGGCAGACTGCGGACGATGGCATTTTTCTTAGCCATGCGGCGAGTGCCCAGAGCCAGGCAGGTGGTGATCACTGCAGGAAGACCCTCGGGGATGGCGGCCACGGCCAGCGCCACGGCAATCTTGAAGTAGTAGACTGCCCCACGGATCCAGGAGCCTCCATGGACGGGGTCGTTGAAGTGTCCGATATTGATGATCCACACAGCAACGCAGATGAGGGAGATGACCTTGGACAGCTGCTCGCCAAACTCATCCAACTTCTGCTGCAGGGGGGTCTTCTCCTGCTCGGTGGCTGCCATCTCGTCACGGATCTTACCAATCTCAGTGTTAACGCCAGTGGCCACAACCACACCCACAGCCTTCCCAGCAGCAATGTTGGTACCCTGAATGAACAAGTATATACATGTTGGCTCAAGTACATTCGATAAGATCTCACATCTTCAAATAACAACAGGAGCGGGTTTTTCCAGGAAATTGAAAGAAACTAAACAAACAAGTTAAAGGACATCAACAGGATGTGTGATAACTTGTCCACCAGAGTTGAGCTTACAGAGAAAAGCATGTTCTTCTTGTCCTGATTTACAGCACGTGGGTCGGGCACAGGGTCGGTGTGTTTGATGACAGAGATGGATTCACCTACAAAGACAACACAAGGTATCAGGTTAAATCAGTTTGCATGAGATGATCTACGGAACAAAGCACAGCCAATTATCTCTACAGAGAGATCTATGGTGCTGATCATTCATGCTGCCTCACTGATCTCACACACACACACACACACACACACACACACACACACACACACACACACACGATAATTGGAAACTGCTTCATGATACACCTCTGGGCTCATTCTGCAGCCACTTCAAATGATCTTGTTCATGATCACCCTGCAATTCTGGATTGATCCATTAATCTTGTGTGCTATTATTTTGAAAGAAACGGAGCATCAGTGGAGAGTTTAAAATGAGTTCACAGCTGAGTAATGTTTTATATCAAAGATCCATCTTCAGTATGAAATAAAACCTCCCTGAAGCCTCAAATAAAAACACATTGAACTCAGTGTGTGCTGGTTACAACTGCATTTTTAATCCACGTTGCTCATAGCAGCAAAAGCTATAATTTAGGAAGGGAGAGGTCATATCTGAAAACTACTTCACTGATATGGTACACAGCACCAACAGGGCTGGGTGGTGACGTTTAAGCCTTTGTATGCAACAATGAGCAGCCTCATTAAGTAAGACATAGCTGACATCTTAGTCTTTAGCTTTAAACCTGTGTGACTTTCTACTTATTACTGAATAACAAACACAGTGACAGGCTGTGGTAAAAAGGTAAGCGTGCAATAAGAATAATAGTTTAAAAAAACCCATCACAGCTGGAAAGCAAACTAATCAATAAATCTATTTTTCATTTTTAAGATCCATGTTATCAGGAGAAACTGAGAATTGAATTGATAAAAATGGCAGAGGGACATAATTTTATAGAAATGCCTTACCGGTCAGAATGGACTGGTCGACCCTCAGGGTTGTTGATTTGATTGAACAGATTCGGATGTCAGCAGGTACCTTGTCTCCAACTATCAGAAAACAGATTCACATGAAAAAGACATCAAATAAAAATAACAAAAACATTAAAAACATGATATAAAATCTATTGGAAATAAAACAAAGCAGTTCAAATTATTTTAAATAAAGTCTGTGGCTGAAAGCTGATGTCAAACTGTCATATTACACAATGGCCAAACACTGGAGGTTTGACTCCAGCTGTATAGTGAACTGCACAGAGCTGTTAGTGTGTGCTCAGACTAAATGAAGATTTAACAGATGAGATATTGTCTATTTTCTGCAGGCAGTAACTCAGCATTAGTGTAAACTAAACTGATGGAGCACGGCTCATTATGGGATGGTTGCTGTGCCAAACAACAGCAGAGCGGTGTTGCCATCGCTGTAGGGAGAGAGAAGGAGAGTCAAAGAAAGAGGAGGAAATGAAGGACTTGTGAGCCATAAAAGGCCTGTCTCAAAGGAAAAGGCCAATTTGGGTACATCGAAATTGCAGTGACCCAATTCAGCTTCCTAATGGTACATAAAGGCAATGGAAACTGGGGAACTGGCTCAGGCTATGGCACAGTTCTGTGGGCGTAGTCTACATATAGGCCTACTTAGTTAAAAATGCAAATTGTGTCAGATTATTACAAAAACACTCCAGCCAGGATGGTGGTATAGTTAGAATCTAATCCCCAAACAAGTCTAACAAATATCTGAGAATCTAACAAAACATCAAGACCAAGCTGAAGTGAAAACTCAAACTGGAAATGAGCAGAGAAAGATTTGATAAAAACATACCAATGTCAAGATTCCCATTTGAGGAAACACGAACAGTAATCCAAAACCCCCCATGCCCTTGAGGGAAGGGAGGGGGAAATAGCAATGGGACCAACAATACATGCAGCCAAAAATGGGAAAAGCATTTCAATATGTTCCCCAATGTGGTGATCAGGTTTAAATGCGGCCGTATGATGGCAGCTGTTTCCTCATCATTGCCCCGGCACAGAAAGAGACAAGGAGACAAAGTCTGGGTCTCCACATCACCTCAAAGTCTTTTAAAGTCTAGACATTAGGAATATAAGTCATCACAATCCCGTCTCACCTCACTAATCCATGTCTACATTTTCACACATGTCCAAATTAATGTACAGCCTTTTACAGTTACATGCATTTCAACACTCTTGCTCCACGAGTGTCGACTTCTCACTGTGACACACGACCCTGTGAGAAGTTGGATAACTGTCAACTCATTTGATGTCCTGACAGTAGTGCCAGGAACTCTGATCTGTCAGCAGGCATTGGCCAATCAAGACACACAGTGACAGCTTTTCTGAGAAGGACTAATGTTGAGCTCAGTTGCATCTTTAAACCGTTTGAACCCGAAACAACGGGCGCAGTGGAAGCTTCACTTCTGGGAAGGTCACGCACCCTCGCTCACAGATGGAACAATGCAGGCCCGGGTCATTTACAACCAAATTAAGACTAGAGCTAACCTCCTGATGGCATGGATGAATCTTGCTCCTGCATTGAATACAGAAACCCATCTCATAGCAACTCTCTTTAAGGGAAACGAGCCTCATCCCTTAAAGAGATTAAAAAGATTAACCTTAGCTGCGCCACAGGAACAAAAAGTGAAATGTTTTCTTTAGGAGCCAAAAAGCTTTACAATTACATGCTAGATGGTTGTGCAACGCTTCCTGTGCTAAGTCATTACTTTTGAAGAAATACTACTCTGAGAGAGTGCTGAGCCAAGACACAAGGCTAGAGGGACAGGTTTCTTATAATGGCGCTTGTGGTTGTTCTCATATAAAGAAGCCAGTGCTTAGTGTGAAAACTGTGTGACACTGAGACACTGGAATTGTCCCGAGGCTGTGTTAAACTGCAGACCTGCTTTGATGAAGTGTGTGTATATCATCTGTCCCTTTGTGTCAACATCCTACTTGGTAGCAGTCCAAGCATCTCCTCAGGCATGACCACTTTTTAACCTTTGCGCCTGCCAACAGGTCACACAGTCCACAAATTTTAGAGTGACAAAAGCTCGGCCCTTGTGATACATTGCACCCAGTATGACTCCCAGAGGTGCCTTATAAAACAGACCTTTCAACAGCAGGCAAGGCGGCAACTGAACCGAAGCCGTCAGTGGTGACTGGCACCTGGCTCCGCCGTGTATTAGGTGACGGCGTGCAGTTCGGCAGGCCAGGCTTCCTCAGGGCCGGCCAGGAAGATACATGTGCTGATGGCAGCTGAACAAAAGGCTGACCTTCTGTCATGTTGAGAGGGCAATTTCAGAACGGTCAACGGGTGAAGCGTCCAGCAGCTTTCCAACGCAGCTCCTACTGATTAACTCACTGGCTGCATTTACATTTGGACTGAACAATAGAAAATCATGTTGTGATGATTTTGGTACATATTTTAATTGCGATATGAGTCATGATTTCAGTTAGAACAGTCATTTTTGCAGAAAAAAAAAAAAAAAAAGATTTTTGTTGGGTCTTATAGCAAACAAACTTTACATCTGGAGAATATGATTTGAAGGCCAGTGCATCGCTATAGCACCACAATGTTTCATTTATGGTCTGTTGTGACATATCCTACCTTTATCAAAAAAATTGAAACTCCTGTAATTTGGATATTACACTTAACCATATTGTGATTTCAATAATATTATGATTAATTGTTCAGCCCTTATTTACATGTGTACAGTAATGCAATGTCCAGATGGATGTATTATTTAAAAAAAAAAAACAAAACAGATAAAACCTTCGACTGTTTGCTCTACCAATGTAGATTTTTTTCCTTCTAACCTTTGGCAGCCAGGTACACCAGAGAATCTATGTTACCATGACTCATCACAATCAATAGTGAAATAAAACTGATTAACTTCTTCCTGCAAATGAGGCTTTGTTTAGGGCGTTACCTTCTACTCTCTTATCTATATCACAAGTGTGTTTTTAGATGCATGTATAGGTTGAGTGCAGGAGTCCTAGTTTTTTGCCACAGTGTTAGTAAATGGCCAAAGTCACAAGTGAGTTTCACTGTTTTATGAGCAAACAAGAGCAGGGTAAGTAATGTTTAGTTAGCAGCCGGCTGCTGGGAGACAATATTTACCAACAGCCGACTAGTTTCTTGACTAGTGAACACATGTCAGCTGACTTTGGGAGTTGATCCGCACCTACGACCTCAGTAATGTAAGCACCATCTCCTCACTGTCTCCCTGAGATCTCTGCTTTTCCTTCGTCTGCTATGAATCTTAAGAAGCAGCAGGCTGGGCCTCCACATAGCAAGCAACTGTTTCTGTTGCCATAGTAACAAAACTTGTCCCAGGACTGGGAGCATTAAAACTACTGTCAAAATTAACTGGGAGTTTAATAGAGTGAAGTAAAAAAAAAAAATGACATGTAGGCTAAGCAAGACACAATCAATTCTGGGTTGGAATCAAAATCAAGACTCCAAACACTACACTGACCTTTTAAAAGAGCATTCACCACAGCCCACACATATACACTGCAAACAAATTAGAGTCTGGACTTTGGACTTCTGTGGTGACAGAGAAAAACATATTGTGAAAGCAGGAAGGCATTATAGAAAAAATTTTAGCACAGTGAATGTAGTGCAATATAAATATCAAACAAAACAAAAACACTTTGTCTATCGTGTTCTTGCAGCCATAAGACATTAAAATGTAGATGTGAGTTTAAGTGTAGACTTTTTGGTTCAATAAAAAAAAAACTGCAAACGACAGGACAGAGGTGGACATTCTTCTCATGTCTTAACACTGTCAGTAGTGGTCCCTCAGTAAAACCTTTCTTGGGCTGTAACCTTACAGCTCAGCATGGATTCCCAGCAGTCAGTGCACTACATGACTGGTACAGTGGAGTTTATGTGTTTACAGATATTGTTTATGCAGAACTTTACATGCATACTTTCTCTCTCTGTCACCGATCAGCACCTTCACTGTTTGGTCTGAATGAAAACCTCTCTGCCCTTCAGCAGGACTTCACTACATGTGAGGTTTTTGCATTGTTAAAGCCTGATTCCCTGGTTGGCAAGATGAGGCCATTTTTCTCCGTCTTGCTGACAAGTCAGGAACCTTTGCCAAAAGACAGTCCCTCAGTGGCAACGACGCTTGCCAGACCACATTAAATGCCACATACTATCCATGGTGTCTGGAATCTTAGTGGAGGCTGCGGGTGCTGATGGGTAGGGTCGCTGTGCATTGAACATGGCGGGGTGGGACGGTTACCCACAAAGCGCTTCCCTATAAGGTCATCTCTCTCCAACACAATGAGAGCTGATGAGAGATCCTCCCCCGTACGCTGCCCCCCACACTAGCCCCCGTCACTACCAGACTCCACAACTTCACAGGCAGCAGAGAACAAACCCACTGAGCTCTGCTGCTCTGAGAAAAGGCCAACGTCCAAATCTGCAAGCTCTCAACACCAAAATCTAAACTGGCAGCTATACAGTGAGCGCTTTCTTATGAGAGAGCCTTAAAACCCCCTGGAAGGAGCTAGTGAACCACACGTGATCAGCTAACACCAGTTTTAGGAGTTAGTTAAATGGAGCAAGGTAATTCTTTATCAGATTTTGGCTGCTGGCACTTGCCTCTCCTAAAACATGCACCAATCTAGATCACAGTAAAAACCTGGTGGATCATTAGTGCCAATTTCTGAATCTAAACTATTCAGGCAAACTCACTGACCTGAATGTCAGTGAGATAACTACTGGAACAAACCATGGATTAGTTGTGATGTACCACTGCATGATTTGGCTGAGCTGCATTGTTGTGAACAAGTATTTTATCACTCCGACAAGAGCGGTCAAAGAACTCCAGAGGAGAGCAGACTGGACCGAGACCAGCACAGATCAGATTTGGAAAAAAAAAAAAAAAAAAAAAACTAAAGCGTTAAATGATCTATTTTAGATAAAAGTCTGAGAAATGCATTACAGAGGATGTTATTTCCATGACATTAAACATATTTCAGTGAGTGTGCGACTGTGAGGCTGATAAAGTGATGGGGGGTGTGAGTAGGAGGCAGCATTCAAACCCACAGCAGGGCCCTGAAAGGGAGCAGCACAAATTGGCTGCAGGCTATTCTTCTCACGGCTGAAGTAGCCACAGAGGACTTGTCTCTGTGTCCTCTACCTCGGCTCAGCAGCCGGCCGGCCGGCATCTGCGTCATCACACTCCTCCTCTGCATGGCAGGGGTCACTTTGGAGCTTCAGGGAAATATTATTCATAAAAAAAAAAAAAAAAAAAAAAGGAGCCTGACAGAAAGCATTGTAAAAGATATTTGGAGGATTTGGGAGGTAAGCTGAAGCCTGAAGTCTCCTGACTGCAGGATAAAACATCCGGTTTTGCTGCTTGCTGGGCTGCTTTTTTGAGTAAGCCTCAAGCTACTGACAGCAAAGCCTCCAGCTACCTTCATCAAGAGTTTTTCAATAACTAGGTCTCTAATATGCAAGAGGAAAGTGCATCTGACTCACAAGTTTATCTTTAAACTTGAGCCTAATATTTAAGCTCTCCATGCTTAGCTTCTTTTGCAACTCGTAATCAAAATGTTATGATTAGCCCTGTCAACCGAAAACTAATTATATACAGTATATAAACACATTAAAACAGAAATAAATGGTACATTAAAGACTTGTGCAGTCCTGCTCCATTTGCCCTTGTCAAGGTTACTGAGGAGTCCTGCTGAACACTGTCCCACGTCACCGCACTGTATCAATGTTTCCCAGAGCAGGATGGGAGGGGCATGCAAGGGGTGGGACCAGACACCTGTCATCTTCACGACTGTCACTGCCTCTATAAATACTGCATTCCATAATCTAAATGGCCTATGACAGCTAAAAATAAAACCTACCACTATATACAGAAAAACTATGCATCACTTCAGCGGCTTAGGGTTAAACAGAGTATCAAGATAACGCTAGTGTTTTAAGGACTCCAGCAGTCCTCAACACATCCGCCTCTGTTCATCCCTCTGCAGAATTATGTATGTGTCTGTGCCATGAGGGAAACAGCACTCTTTTTAAAAAAAAAAAAAAAAAAATCAAAGCTTTACATCCTCAGGATTTCAGCTGCTGAAATACGCTGACTGGACCTCAGCTGCATGAATCACTCCAGGGCTCAGCTCACATACTGCATGAGGAGGAAATCTGTTGAGATGGGACGAACTGTGACGATGCAGTAGCATTCATTTCACACACTCACACACACACACACACACCCTTTGTGACCCTGGGTTAATAAGAACATCTCAAAATACATTATTCTTGCAGGGTGTGTCACCTCTGCAGTGGCACTTGGGGATGGGGGGGGGGGGGGTTTCAACTTGAGCTTGTGCTAAATGTGATCCATGACCATACCTGGTCTCATTTGATCTGTCAACAGTCTGCTTTATCTGAGGCTCAGTGAAACGCAGGCGAGGAACTATCATATGAAGAACACCAGATCTCTTTGATGTCCAAAAAAACTGAATATGGACAAATACCCTCTTTCACAGCCAAACAAACTATTCTTGATAGAAGCTGCAGTGGCATTAAATTGCCAAATCTCTGAATTTCAAGGTTTGTTCCAGTCTGGTTCATGTGATATCCAGATGTTCCCTGGGCCTGAGGAGTCTACATATGAAACCAACATCTAAACCTTTTCACATCTCAGTTAGTTGGTGGTACAATCTAAGCAACAACAGTATTATTTTAGAATAAAGTTAAAACAATAACAAAAGCAACAGAGTCGTGTCCGTTTAAACAAGCACAAAATCAAGAGCATGTCAACCTACCAGCAACCTCTACGATGTCACCAGGCACGATGTCTCTGGCCTTGATCCTCTGCACAGTCTTCCTGTCCTGCCGGTACACTTTCCCCATCTCAGGCTCGTACTCTTTAAGTGCCTCAATGGCATCCTCAGCGTTGCGTTCCTGGTGAGGTGAAAACAACATTTAGTGCCATCACTTCTGAGTTGCCTGTTCTTGGTTCTACTGGACTGAACATAACAGGCACTCCCAATTCTGAGTGCAATGTTTGTTTAATCAGGTTGGGCTTGGGGACATTGAGGTGTTAAGTATATGGAAAATTGGACTATAAATCACATCATTTTCTGCCTCTTGACGTTTTTCAATTTTTCCTTCACCGGCATCTTCATCAGCAACAACACAACATCACTCAGAGCGGACTGCCCACACGTTTTAAAAATAAGTAAATAAACCAGCCTCATATGTTGGTGAGATTCAAGAGGACAACTTCGGGGCTGTTCCTTTTCAAGAGGAAGTCATCTTTGAGACAAAAACAACTTTCAGTGGAGAGAGTTTAGCTACAGTGGCAGTGAAGTATAACAAACTGCAGCAGGCTGCCACACTGATAGATGCATTTAATTCATCACCAGCGAACCATTATGTGCATTTTCAAAAGTCTTCTCATTGATTTCCACCCAACTCCAGCTGTGTCTTCTCTCTAGATCACTAATTTCTGTTGTCACTGGTGACTGCATTTCAGAGTGATGTATACACTTCACTGCCAAGTGTATTAGGCTCATGCCATCCAAATACATAAGTCTTTCTGTCAGAGCTGGGCTGATTCAACATTTTGGACACTGCAGTTCATGATAATATTGCACTGGATCAGATTGCATGATTAACTTGTTGAATAATGATTAGATAATTATTAGAAGACTGTTGTGCTGAACTGCAATGGATGTGGCTAATATCAGTGTTGATACAGGCTCACACTGAGAGGCAATAACTTTCAATAGCATGGTGACCTTAGGCAATATATCACATTTTAAAGGCTTTGAAATGAGTTTAAATGCTGGCTTATTGTTTTCAGATATTATCCTTGAGTGTCTGTTTCAACCCCTACAAAAAAACAGGTAACATGTGCAACTAATTACAGAAAAAACATAATTCTGTTGTATAATGAAATTTGACTTACTTCAATACAAATGCATTACATTTGGAGAAATAAAACTAGAAGAAAAAACCCCAGTGATTTCCAGGCCTATTCCCCAGATACAAAGGACATGGCGTTGGATTTGAATAGTGATGTCCCAGGATGTCAAAGTTTCTCACCTGCCACACTCCGACAATGGCATTGGCTATAAGAATGAGTAAGATTACAAAAGGCTCCACAAAGGCTGTGATAGTTTCTTCCCCCTCTTCAAACCAGGCCAGGACCTGAAAACAGTACGAGAAGAACCAAGCATTAACTATTAAAAACATTTCACAGAACAAATTTTTTTTTTTTTTTTTAAATAAAAAAATCATGAAAGAACAAACAAAGTTGTTCATAACAGATAAACGGCTGAGAAATCACATCCTTGATAGAAGAGAGATATGCACGGACACAGTCACAAATTACGCATTCAAATTAACTGAACAGGTTTTTATCTCTTAAATAGACCTGACATCAAAGCCAGTTAAAATCAGACTTGAACTGAACACTTTCCTTTCCTAAACCGAAAGTTTCTTTAGTATTTAGTCGTTAACAGCTGACCACTTATCTAAGGAACATTAGCAATACATTTATTCACTGTGAGAAACTGTTGTTATTCTCCTGTGGATATTTGTAATTATTGATTTTTTTAACTGCCAACACTGGACAACCCATTTAATATGTAGGAATAATGGGAAATTCATAAGCATTTGATTCCCTGATGCAATTATATCAACCATCAAGAAGACTGTAAGAACTCAGATTTACACAGTTTGACCTCTATTAAGTGGAACTACTTTAACATTTCCATTTCAGGCAGTGATAAACTGATGTCCTAATGGATTATTTAAGCACTGGTCTCAACACTTTTGCCTATATTATACTATAATGTCTCACTGCCTGCAAAATATACTACATTTTTCTGACCTGGAGTCTCATTTGGCTTGTTGTCCCTGAGAAAATTGTCCTAAAATTACCCTGTGTGTCACAAGCAATTAGTTAATGTCCCATAATGTCATTCAGTTATCAACCTCAGTAAGAGCCGAGTGTTTGGCTGCGTTGGACAACAAAGACTTTTTATGACATAACTTAAATGGCAAACATAACTCTTAATAGCGGTGACAGTATAAAAGCACGGGGCTCAAAAGTGCCTTACTGTATGTCAGAACACAGCCAAGACATTTACATCTCTCATATCTATACTAAGGCTGCAACTAACAACCTCTTTCATTATGGTTGAACCTATCACTTATTTTTTCAATAAATCACTTAGTCATTTATACTATAAAATGTCAGAAAATAGTGAAAAAGCCCCAGTTGAAACCTTAAATATTTTGTTTTATCCAACCAATAGTCGAAAATCAGAAGATATTTAGTTTACAATTATATAAAAATAGACAAAAGCAGAAAACTTACACTGGAGAAGCTGGAACAAGAGAATGACGGACATTTCTGCCTTATAAATTACTTTAATGACATTTGGAAATTACTTTTCTGCCCATCAAATAATCAGTTAATTGTCTAACTGTTTCAGCCCTAACATTTAGACTAACATGCAAAAGGATAAAAAACCTTTATAGTAATTAATCTCATTAAATAATGTATTTTTAAAACAGGGGCAGGCTCTTAATAACTCTTCTGTCGACACAAACTGGAATCATTCAAACAGAACTGAAGACAACTTTTAATTGAGTCTATAGATTTAGATGAGAGAAACTACTTCAATAGCCAGTGGTTTAGCTTTTCTGATTTTGATTTTCTTCCATATTCCTTGAGTATACATTAAAGAATGGGAGTTAATATATTTATGTTGAGGTGGGTGTGCACATTTGTCTGATGAGAGCCCTCCCACTGAGGGGTGAGGGCCCAAATTTGGTCTTGAGTGGTGCTCTGTTCCCCTGTCAGACAGCAGCCACTGACACCTCTGTATCACCTGACCGGGCACCGCACGCTACATACCAACTTGGACACACACACCGACACACACACACACACACACAGTTATCAAAATCTTCTTCAGACATGTGTTAATGTAGCGTGTAGTCGATTCAAAGAACATGAAAGAAGTAAAGTTGCAAAAATTAATCACACATTGCTCAATGCCAGACATTAAATCTAGTTTTTGATCCATCACAGAAAGAAACAAAACATTGTTATTTGATGTGACATTACAACAATAAAAGTGCTACTGTTGTGTGAAAACGTTCATTTCATTTTGCTTTTAAAAACGTTCGGACACACGCTGATGTGGTGCTATTACATTATGGCAGCCCACCATCAAACATTTATGTGTCTGGCACCAAAAGACAGCGTCCCAAGCGAGCTCAGGATAAGTCATTACACAGCAGCCATGCTTGACGACTCAGATGTCTTACTTGGCACATGGTGATAGCAACTCAATGCTGCTACTGCTGTTGTCACCATTCTTCAGATGGGTTGCTGGCCTTCTCAGCTGTTTAGCTCCCTAATATGCGAGTGTAACCTCAGCCAGGTTATACAAACTGAAGACGTTCACACTTCAGCACTATGCAATACATAAACTGTCCCCTGCCATTCATCACACAGGGCTTAATAATAATCCGATCTGCTATTTTGACTTAATGTAAACACTCTTTCAGTCAGAGGTGGGAAGGGAAAGCTATTTGTAGGATGCAGTAACTTGTCCTGAGATTCCCTTAGGTTTTTATTCCATATGTACATCATCTCTCTCATTTACTGGACACAGCATGGAGGATATAACAAGATAGGGGAGTAACAGGGAGAATCAAACAGATCAGCAGGTCAAGACTTGACATAAATTCATAATGTCACAAGCTGAGGAGGTTGTTAAGTCTACATGGTGTAAAATAGTGTGATAAATCCTGCATTCTCAACAGGACTGTGTTGTATCCAAAATCATGAAATAAAAACAATCTAAAAAAGGTATACTTACAAAAGATATACACGCAGCCAGCAGAAGAATTCGAACAAGTAAATCTTCAAACTGTTCAACGACGAGCTCCCATAAAGATTTCCCTGCAGAGGAAGGAGTTGGTTAAAAACAATCCATCACAGAAAGGTGTTATCATGAAATGACAGTAACAGTAGTGACAGTGACAGTACTGATTACCTTCTTCAGCTGGTAACTCTAGAGGGCGAAGTCAATCCAGGGATGGCACATGAAACAGATGAAAAAGAAAGAAAAGGTGGGTAAGTGGTACATAAACTCAGTTCCTGTTTCTTGATGGGGAACTGGTTCCTAGAACAAGAGTGTGTTCTGTGTAACAGAGCTAAGAGAGCCAAATCTCAGACTAACACAAGTTGGTGCAAAACATACTGTGTAATGGTGGAGGTTTTGTCCTGAAGTGATGTAGTGGAGGTGTGTGTGGATATGTCTAACCATTAAATGTCAGTATAAATGAGAACCAATCATGTTGCAATAATGTAATGCAGTTTTGTAAGATCCTATTCACATATCTGGCTTAAAGTTCCAACTATGGCATATAAAATAAGATTTATTACACAATAGGGAAACTCCAATCAATATAAAGGTCAAAGTGATTTAATGGGAGGTGGGTATAACCTTCATGATCTCCCAGGTTGTATTAATTTAAAAACAGCTGTTTAGGCCTGGGACAAGAGAGATTAACTCAGCCGCATAAGGTTACTCCAGTGATCCCGTGGCCACTGTTCAGTGTCAAATAACTGTTGGATCTCCAGGCACGTGCGCCAAGGTGTTGCACTTTGAGCAACATTAGCGTGGCTGCTGTGTTCAACAATATCACCATATTTTACAACCACGGTCAACAATGTCACAATGAGGTTATGTTTAACAATGTTATCACCGTCCACAGCGTTACCATGACACAATGCTACACACTGAAACCATGTCCAGAATCGCTACAATGTCCCCATGTTCAACAATGCTACAATGTCCTCTAAGTAATCACTGATTTGTTACTGTGTAAGAGATGGGAAACCCTCGAGGTCACCGGTGATGACGTCAGCCAAATCACTTTATGAAGCCGGGTAACACCGGCCGGCTGATGGTGTTGCTGACTTTTACCCCATATACTGAATACTGTGCCCGCACTGCCCCATGTTACAATGACAAGACATTTTTGAGCCGTGTCTCATTCACAGCAGCGGCGTCTGTGGAGATCTATGGTTTAAATTGTCGTACCGTTTAGGCCCCATTTCTCCTTCTGTCGTTTCACCTCGTCCAGGGAAAGTCCTGTGCTTTCATTGACGCAGAAATAACTGTAAACTTCTTCCACACTCTTCGTGTGAGCGTTCTCCATGGCGGACAGACGACTCCTTCCCACACAACGTTACCCAAAGATACAGCCGTATGGCACCTTCTGGCACTTTCAAACTGTTAGTACTTTCAAAGGAATAAGGAGTTTATCAGCAGAGAGCTGTGCTTTCACACTCGGGTGGCTATCGAAAGCTACTGACCGCGGTCTAACGTGTTCCCCTGGCCACTGTTGAGATTCTTCACGCGAATTACGGAGAAAAAAATCTTGGAGTGAGCCAAATTCCTCTTCCCTCTCTGGAGGAAGATTACTCTGAGCAGCCTCTTATCTCCGGAAATGGTGGGAAAGTGTCTGCAGCAGTGTCCTGTGTTAAGGACTGCATTCACCCGGTCCGGTCCTCCTGCGTGCTACCGTGCCGTGCCCTGCCTCACCGTGGCGCAGCTCTCTGTGGCTCCACACGGTCCTGACAGTCTGGTTTTATTAAAGCGCCTCACTGCTGCCCCTCTTCCCTGCGCTGCATGTGGACTAACGCCATTGGACGAGCGGTGTCAGCTACGTTCAAACCAGGGAGACGAAAAAACACAGGAAGTAACCAGGAAATGAAACGCTGGAACACTCACTCGTTTATCCCATCCAAACCATGTGGATTCTGTTGTATCTAAGTTAACACACTTGGGTCAGTTTACATTAATTTTAGTGTTTCCTATTGCTCGCCGTATCTGGCTGGTGACACTGCCGTTTTGTGCTGTACATTTATGAGTGACATCACTATTTGTGATCCCACCCCGTGATAGGCTTTATTAAAAGGCAACATATGACGTAGTATGGACGCTGACAGTAAAAAAAACAAAACAAAAAACAGCTTTCTTTTTTATTATTACGTAGACTCAGAGATGGCCCGTTCAGGGAACCAATGTAAATGTGTTGCTCACAGTGTAGTATGAGTATAACCTGTTTGCATAGATTCACAGATTACTTTACACAATTCCCTCAGACTACAGGCATCCCATTAGAGAGGTCCCATGTCTTATTGTATTACTACCTCATTTACACTTGACTAGGGCCCCTTGTTTTTCTTTGGCAGGAATGAGTTCATGAAAAAAAAAGATGAACCACAGATCAACGTCTCAGGCATGTTACACCAGCTTGAGCAAAGAAAAACCACTGCCTCAAGTTTTTTCTCCAGAAACAATTAATAAAGCCAGGCTATCCCTGATTAATTATCTACATCTGCTTTACAGCTGTAAAGACAGCCAAATTGCTATAGATGTGTGAGGGCACAAGGTTAACCCCTCCACCACACATTGTGTTCTTTAGGGGGTAGCGTTGTCAGCTGTTTTACAGGGCTGGCATGCATCATCTGTTAAAGCGTTTTAATAAGGCCCCAAGAAGCACAAAGTGCTGCAGCATTAATAACATAGCAGTGCCTAGTTGGACACCAAGCTGCCTTTTACAATACACACTTGATCTGTTTGGCACAAGAGCCACTAACATTGGCTTGTCAACAGTATAATAATTTTCTGTGGGAGTGATGGTGGGATCTTGAAGCATCCAAGAAGACATTTGTTGGGAACAATGTGGGACACACAAATCATAGTCTGTGTGCAGAGGTGTGTGCTATGTTATTTGCTAAAAAAAAAAAAAAAAAAGGGTAATAATACCTCAGTATAGCAACTAAAATTTACTCCATCCCTCATGTAGTTTAGTATTGATTTATATTAAATAATATTTAACATTTCATACCAGTCCAGTTAAAGAAAAACATAATGCTATTAATTAATGTCAAATTTTAGTCTCACAGCGGGTATTCAGTGTATGTCTTATTCTGTTTAAACTGAAATTATCACACCATGGAATTTATGGATGGGCAGCTGTCTGTTATCATTTAAGATTATTATAATGAAACATGAGTCAAAATGAATATAAAATACATTTAATATATATAGAAAGACAACCACAATGTCTTTCAGACAAAAAAAGTTTATTTTGAAATAGGATCTATTAGAGAAAAATAAACTATGTTATTATATATAGTAGAAACAGATTGAATAAACTGACTATTACATCTGCGCTGTCCAAAGCAATGTCGGTCCCAGTGAATTCCAAAATTGGCAAGACAATCTGTCCAAGGTCGTGGTTGTCGTTGCCAAAAATAGTTGACCATGGCCACATCCCAAGTGCACCACTTTGTATGCTATTATCTTTGGAGGCTTTGATTGAAAGTGTATTCTTAAAGATGTGTGAATTAGGACTCTCCAGCGGGACAGAGTGAAAACCCTTGTCCTGCAACACCTCCTGATACATGTTTTTTTAAGTTGTGGATTCTCAAAGCATCTTAAACTGTGTCATCACCACCAAGTTACTGGTTCCACAAGATAAACTATCAAGTGAAACTCGATGGCAGTGTGTAACAGACAAGATGGAGGGAAAACTGAACCCTACCAACACAAGGAAACAAACCTTGTACCTGTTATTTGAAGGTACTATAGTGTGCAGTTACAGTTTACATTTAACAACCCTGTACTGTCATACGTTTAAGATATGTTACAGGAGGCTATAGAACATTAAGCTCCGTTAGTGTATGTACTGTAGGTGACCTGTAGCTGACTCTGCCTGCACATGACCTCACAGCACCAGCCTATCCTCTCCTCCCTCCTGGATGACCTGACCAATAGATGCCTGGCTCTGAGCTCGTATGAAGCACTGCCTCTTGCACTCCATCAGCTGCTCCAGGTCCCGCCACATCTTCATCTGCTCCATGTTGGCGCTGTGGCTCTCCCTCACCATCTTCTGCTTCTCACGTAACTTCTGGAGTCCACAAAGGAACAAAGTGATTAGTAGGTCAAAAGAAAGAGAAGAGTCTGGTCACTGTTTAGAGCCTGACTGGCCAAACATGTTAGCAAAACAAATATATACTCCTTTACATTAATGCAGTTCTGAAAGCTTCCAGTAAGTTTCCTTGTCTACCCTGTTTATCCTCATGTACTTGACAGAATAAAGGGATACTTCCAAGTATTGACCCATGGCAACTGCTACATCAGTTCTTGGACACGTTTCTCACCTTGCCAAGTAGCTCCTGTTCTGAAATGTTCTTCATGTACACCTCTCTATAAAAGAAGAAGAAGAATATCATTCAAATGCAAGCCATCACAATCTCACAGGTTGATCTCACCCAGTGAGAGGTGTGGTGTATCAGCATATCTTGATATCACAAGGTGTGGTGATGACTTTCTAATTACTCTCTCTGTTGTGTGATAAAAAGGAATAAAGTGGCAGCAGTTTAACTGACTGTGTTGTAATAAGAGCTTGATGAAGTAAAAAGGGCGTCTCATCTTTCGAGCAGCTGGTTGACCCGACTCAGCATGCTCACCTAATGGCCTTCTTCCTCTCTTGTGGATCAGAGGACACATAGGCCTTCATCTCGTCAGCCGCCCGCTGTATTTGCATCTCAATGATCTGTGGAGGACAGAGATGGATCGGGTTTATTGTCACAGTGGGTGTTTGGGGGCAGGTCTCTTGCAAAATGCTATGACATTTTATCCACTCCTGCAGCAACTATTGGCCGCAACGAGTATCAATTCTAATTTTACCATGTTTGGCTTGTAAAACAGATACACTATTCATGGCAAATAGCTTGGATGTTTTTTTCTGCTTTAAACAACTATCATTAAAATACGTGCCTCTGACATGGAGTTAATGTGATGGTACTGGTTTTCCTCCTGTGCTGTCTCCTCTCTCAAAGCTTTCACCTCCTGAAAAAAACATGAGAAGAATATAGACATGCAGTATTCCACTATGCCAAAGACATACAATATTATACACAAATACACTGGATAAACATGTATGAATATATTTAAATTGTTGACTGTATTCTAATGCAGGATAATTGATATTATTACCTGCTCCAATTTCGATCTGTTGCTCTCCAGACCAGCAGCACAACTTTCATACTGCACCTTCTTCTCCTCATATTCCTGGCTTAGCTCCTATTTAGATCAGAATCCAAACAGTCAGTACACAGGAACTAAGAGACAAATGATTTCACATACTGTATGCTGAATTAGAATTGAGACAAATACATAGAATACACATTTTAAACAATCTTGTCATTCTCACAGCACTGTTTCACATCAACATAAGATCACAGCTGGCATTAGAGCAGTTTAACTTACCACAGGCTCTTACAAAGTCTATTTATGTCTTCCTGTTGCAGCTCTTCATTAGCAGACATTACCCAGTAAAATGGAAGAGTGATTCTGGGAACACGTGTAGGAAAATTTAATCCTCTGCTTTAGCTCAGCGATGTGGGGGGGCTTTCCCATCATGCATTTTATTTATGGACTATGTAAATTATTCTTAATGGACCCAGACCAACACAACACACAAACACAATACAAGTTCATTCTTATTGGCTTGAATTTAAAATTTATAGTTTGTCATGTTGTTCTCAAGTGAAAATTCAAATGATTCTGCTGTGGCTCTGCAGGGGGAATATGTGAGTCGTTTGTGAGATGTGAGAGCTGTATCTTGCAATGGCTTGCTTCCTATACATTGTAGACAAAATATGATTTTAGAGTATGAATGAATTATATCCAATTCAGAACAGATTAGTTAGAATGACGAATAAGAATGACTCCAGGGTGAGAAATCAGCATCAACTTCTTGATGGGATTTTAGCGTGAAAGGGGACAAAATGTGCCTTTTGGAAGTTCTTATTTGAATGTGGTCATTTAAATAGGTGGCCCATTTTCTTTACAAACACTAATTGATGTGGTGTGAGGATTTTGTGAGGAAGAGGTGTTGTAATGTGGACAATGCTCACCTGACACCGCTGTCTCAGTGACCTCAGTTCTTTTATAATTGGAGCTAGAGCCGACTTCTTCTCCACTATCATAGAGTTTAATTTCTTCACCTGTAAAAACAAATATAAATCTTACAATAATCACAATGTAATGTGAGAGGAAACAGTATTTCATACTGGACTTTTTAACTCATTTAATATATATACATTTAAACCCTGAAAAGAAAACAGCAGGTAATGCGACTCTGACTAATGATTTACTGAGATGATGAAGTTTGGCAGCATTGTCACCCAGGCAGGTGCAACCTGACAAATCTCTGATAAAATAAAAGGACTAAAGTGTCTATATCCAGGGTAAAGATGCCACTTTGGTGCGTCACCATAAACCACAACAGAGATTATTTGACAGTTTTCAGTAACAGTTTGTTAAGTATTCATCATAACATTACAAATTTCTGCTTTATGGGTTTGCAGTGCAGTTCCACTATTTCCTACATTCAGATTGGAGCCAGGGATGCTTGACTCATTCATTAGGAGTGGTGTGGTCTGCAGGTTGCCAAATGTACTCGCTGCCAGACTGATCAACAAACTCACTACAGCTTGGAGCATGGCCTAATGAGCTGTGACTGCTTCCCTCTGGGCATTGACCACAGAAGGATGACAGGGTGATAAATAAAACCGAAGCTGTGAGATAAGATAAGATAAGATAAACCTTTATTGATCCCACACCGGGGAAATTCACTTGTTACAGCAGCATAGGAAAAAACGAGGTAAATATAACAATAGAATAAAGTAGAAAATAACAACTCAACCATAAATAACAAAGTATGTATATAAGTACTTGCATTTGTAGAGATATTTACAAATGTATTTAGTTAGTTAAATAGATAGTATAAAAAATAAAATAGATATTTATTTAGATGAATTATGCTGGGATAATGTATTTCCCTTGGCAATGTACAGGTGGAGATATCTGAAAACTTGAAAATTGAACTTTCAAATCTAGTTAAAGGCTCTGCACATCAGCACAGGTGTATTCACTCCAGATTATTAGACCTCTGCTAAAACTGAAGTTGGGTGGAGTTATGTTGGGACCAATAGGTACCAATAGGTACTAATAGGCTCTTTTCACAAGAGACATCGTCAAAGTAGGAAAAGCACAGGTGTTACTAATAATATTAATGATGGCTCAGTTCCATTTTAGTGTCCCATTAAGTCATGACAGTGAGCCAGCATATACCAGGGCCCTCAGACTTCATTGATTTTATTATTTATAACTGCTGTTTTCCTACTGTGACATGTCAAAATGTCCTCTGTAAAAAAAAAAGAGGCCAATAATAATAACAACATAAGATGTCCTGCCCTTACAGAATGAAGAGGATGCCGCTCAAACACAGTCTGTACAGGCTCATACGGTTATTACGGAGACTCTAATTAGCTCTAATTAGCCAAACTAAGTGAAAACACCTGTGTTGTGTGGGTGGGCCACCACTGTGTAGAGGCTTTAGTAAATTCTAGGCTAGATAGGGACAATGGCACAGTACATCTTTACTATGTAGTAAAAAACATCATTTGTATTTGTTTAATACATATTTGTAAAAAACTAAATTTGATCTGATGTCATCATAAAGTAGTACTAGTAGTATAGTCACCATTTCAGACATGTCATCCAGTGTGCGGCCCTTCTTCTCGTCTAGCTCGCTCTTGATGGCAGACACTCTCTCCAGTTCCTCCTGAGTGTCACTGTAGCCAGAGATTCCCTTCTCAGCTTCTACAGTTTGCTTTAAAACACAACAGTGACACATGGTAACTCATCTGTACATGAACAGTTTCAGCAATGAAATCAAATGGTCAAAAAATATGACTACCTGTCTATCAATGACTTGACAATTTGAGTGCATTCTTTTTTTGAAAATGATTTTAACATACAATTTTACTCCACATGCAGCTAAAGTTAGCTCATGAAGCTGATTCAAACACAAAGCTTTTAATCAGCCAGACAGAGAGGGGCGGACACATCGGCAGCTAGACATGTGACCAGCAGGAAAACTTTCATTGCTTTGACAAATCATTGTGTGGGATGCAGACAGAGGAGAAGCAGCAGATGCAGCTATCAGAAATAGCAGCTCTGCTTGCGTCAGACAGCCTATCAACAAGTCAGGTGCTGGGACCGCACAGAGGTGTGAAGCCATTTCCAGGAAGCTTCTACCACTTCACTGTTAACACAAACTGCGTGAATGGGGAGATCAAGTGAAAACAGCACTTTTGGAATGGCAGTCTGAGTGTCTGAGAGGGACGGAGGGGGTACAGTATGAATGCTACAGGGCACAGAGGGTATTAAAAGCAGATAGGGGGATTTCTGTGGTCCTGGTGCAACATGGAGCATTAAAAATGATGATTACTAAAGTGTCCTTTAATACAACCACTCAAATGTTCTTGTGCAACTTCCTGAGCCACTCACTGGCCAACAAATGATGGCAGGTCAATGTGGCATTCACATGTCAATTGTCAGTAAAAGAAAAATACAAGAAGAAAACTGACTGACTGCTTTCCTTATAGTTGTATGTATGTATTCAATGTACTTCTTCTCATGACTTGTACTGTAGCACCCTAAAGGATTTCAAAAGATGTAATGTAAAGGCAACAATTAGATCCCAATCCTTCCTTTGCTTTGGTGTAAATAACGTCTTCTTTGTTTTACCAGTTACCAGTTTCTGTTGAACGGTCTCATGTCTCTCCTTGAGAATCTCTTCTGTTCGTTGCAGGACTCCATATTCTGCTTTCAGCTCAGCAATTTCCTGACGTTTCTTCTTGTACACAGTTCCCTTGCTCCGCAATTTCACCACCAAACGTTTCAGCTTTGAAGAACAAAGACACAGAATTCAACATTACCTTTAAATCAAACGAACACTGTACTAGATATTAGTGTTAAGAGAAAAGAATATTAACATTTCTTTCAAATGAAATCCGGCAGTTTCTTTGTGACACCAAATCGACACTTAAGAGGTCACTGACACTCCTGTGATCATATGGTGAACTGTTAGCAAACAGTTGCTTGTTTACACATTCAGCAGTTATGGAGCAACATAAGCATTTATTTGTGGTTAGTTGACAAATGTGAGTATTCCCTTTGGCTCAGGTTTAGTCTCCACTAACTCCTGAGGAAATATCTGAGCTGCTAAATGTTCACCAGCTAGTTGCTAACTTTGTCTGGCAGATACTTGATGCTGGACAGATAGTGCACAGTGGGTTTTTAGAACTTTTTTCTGTGAAAACAGCTGCCTGCTGCTGCTGCTGCTGGAGAGACAATGCTAATGAGAGCAGTGAGACTGAACCAAAAATAATAAATTTGCAGGCTGTAAAGCCAAAACAAGAAGCTGAAAGAGGCTAAAATCCTTCATAGAGTGATTTCTTTCACATACACAATTTGATACATTTTAAATATATAAATATCGATTACAGCAGCTTTAAACAAAAATGAGCAAATATTTTTACATCACTAGGGGTTCAAAGAAATCAATGCTTTTGGGCCTGCTGCAAGTAAATGTAAATTCTTCTTTGGGAAATTCAATGAAAGAGGCATAAATACAGTTTATATTTGTCGACATGGTGTCCAGCACAGCTGAGATACTATGAAAGGCCACAGGCGAAGACAAAGGGTTGAGCCAGGGGAGGGAAGGGATTAGAAAACAGCAGTGACTGCAGCAGAGGGCCCTGCGGGCCATGCCATGATCTGAAACAGTCACTCGATCCTTTCAGGTTCACAGCCAGCTATGTACAGCAAACAGCTTCATCTGGCAGAATAACTGCTTTAAGTGGATGTTCAGTCACTCCCCGCCCTTTCTGTCTGTTGGGACACAGTGAAACTCCTCCACAATGAAGAGCAGCTATAAATGAACATGGACACGGGAGAACAGCCCCAGAAATCACAATGTGCTTCATGTCCTTTGGGGATCTATGAAGCTTGATGTGCGTGTGGGTGTGTGTGTGAGTGTGTGTGTGTGTGTACATATATTCTTTGTGTATTTTGGGACATCAAGGGCAGACATGGCTGAGAGAGGAATTAGTGCAGCAGCATAATACTGCATAGTGTTCCCGACATTGTGTCCCCAAAACAACTGCTGTCAAACTGAACAGCAGCTCAGTCGTAACACACTTGACTTAGACACCCCAACGCACACTTGCATGGAAATATAAATGGTGCAGCAGATACTCCAAATAAATAAAATAAAATCTAGCCAGTTACAATACAGATCTCTACATTTTGACAAGTAAAAAAATCGTGTATGTGACTCAGATTTCTGATACTGTCTTGACTGAAGTGAAGCTAAATTTAACCAGTGTGATGAGGCTGGACGACAAAGTGGTTTTATGTTACTGGCCAATCAATGACGAGCAGATGGAGTCATCCCTCTCAGACAGACCCTGCAGTTGGTAGGTGGCATGTGATGACACATAACCAGCAGAATGGAAAATACCTCTGATAAAGTGATCATCTCCACCATGGCTGATGGCCCAAAACTACGAAGGAGTCTGATAAGCTGTGTTTGACAAAACAGTCTCCATTAACTTCATTCATGTTTAGTCTCGAGGGCCCTCTTTGTCTTGACAAACAGCTCCCTCTCATCATTTCAGTCAGACTTAAAGGTATTAGTCAGTATAATTAATGCATAATAATTATATAATTACAGTATAATTAATGTAGAACATAGACAATGGTTCAAATACAGACATCAGCACACTCTTCTGTCTTATACCAGTGGTATTACAAACACATTTTACACACCACCTCATAATATTTCTTCCTGTGATGAAGAAGATTTTGCTACCTCTCCCTACTCAGATGATTGCTTTCTCTTCCCTTCCTGAAAGGAATAAACATGTTGGAAATAACTTTTCCACTGATATTTCACTCCCTCTATCGTTTGCCAGAGTCAGTGAAAATTTTAGTTTTGTCTCTGCTGCAGGAACACCATCCCCTTTCATGTTTGTGCTAAAAACTGTCCCATTACATCGCTAACAAAAGCCGTTGGTACAAAAACATAAAATACAGAATAGAGGCCAGATGAGCATTGGTCTTTCTTGTTTAAAAGGAATAGTTCGGCATTTTGAGAAACTAAAATTACTTTCATGTGAAGAGTCAGCTGAGATGGATCAATATCACTTTCAATTCTTCATATAACACTAGAGACAGCAGCCCGTTAGGTTAGCTTAGCATAAAGACTGGAAACAGGGGGAAACAGCTAGCATGGCTCTGTCTAAAGCTAACAAAGTCTGCCAAAATATTCTTCTAGGTCCCTATTGACCCTCCCCACCCCCCACCTACCATCCTCATGTAGATTGTGTCCCAATCCTACAAGTTCCTTATAAGTACAGTTCATTCACTATATGACTAAAAATATAAACTAAATTAATGTCTTAAAACTACATTTTCTCACAAGGCCCCTTGAGAGGTGCAAACTCTAGAATAAATTTGCAGTTAATAGAATTACCAAAATAAGTTTACACAGAGTGAACCAGGGACTTTTGGGGCCTCTCAGATCTGGGGTCCCAGTTGCCAACTTGGCCCAGTTGGTTGTCCAGCCTGGTAACAATCTTTTCTAACTCTGTATCTAACAAAAATAATGTGGCACTAGTTTAACCAATGCTAAAATGATACTAGTATCTTAAATATTTGTGATAGTGTTTTTTTTTCTAAACTCTATAGACAATTCTTTTCTTTCCCCCTATATATGCGGGTCAGAGGTCAGGGTCAGGATTGGGGCAACACACAGCAGCCAGACAGAAAACAGCAGAGGAAGAAGAAAGCTGGTGTCATTTCATACATGCTGCGACTATAGCTCGTACCTCACGGATATCAATGTGCGTCAAACACTAGGTGATAAAAATTCTCATCCACGCAGTGCACACACAGTGGTCAAAGCACAACCTCCATCTATCAGCGGCCCTTTGCTAATACAGAACTGTTTGGAGTAGACGCTTGAGCTGTAAGCTTAATGTATGCACAGGCAAAAGAAGAAGTGACTGCCCGAGGGCTTCTGACTTATGTGCAACAATATTGTTACTTTTTTTCCTCCTCGTCAGTGGCTCAGTCCGGTTGATCAACGTGACAGCTCAGAGTAGACCATGCCATGTGTCTGAAAGGGGGAGTACATCCTCGTCATGGGATATAAATAAAGACAAAGGTTTTATGCCCCAAGTCTGTTTAATGTGTCCAGCTGACTTGAATTAGGGGACTGATTATACTAAAGATTAAGGAAAAAGCCAACTTTCAGGCACTTTGTCCAGCACAGTTCCTTGTTCTGGATATTCTCTGTTGTGTTCTATTTATGGCTCAGTATGGGAATGTGAGGGAGAGTAAGGAAAAGGGATAAGTAACATTAGACAGTGAGCCCGTGTGTGTTTGGATAAGAACAGAAATAGCCTCTTGTGTTTTCTGCGGTTTGCAGATCTACTTGTGTGCACTCAGATAAAGCTGCAGTTTCTGTAGGTGATGGTGACTGTTACCTTGCACACAAAGAAGATAACCATACAGAAAATGTTTCTTCTCTTGGCAACCGGCATTAAAATTCTTATCATACATAAAGCTGAACATCATGTATGTAACAAATACTAATTACATCGACATGGCTCTGGAGAAATTCAGAGGTAGCTGACATTCAGTGGATGTATTATTTTGTGACTGTAAGAAGCACTTCCAAGTGTACCTCATCACCCCGGATGACCTCTGCCCCATCTGAGGCTTGTGCCTGGCTGCTCCTCTGTCTCAGCTCCCTGTCTGCCGCCGCGAGCTCCTCCCTCGCTTCCTGAAGCTCCTCTGCCTTTGACTCCTTCCTTCGAATGATGATGGAGGCCTGCAGGAGTAATGTTACATTAGATATACAAACATGACAAAGGAGTTTCTGCCAAGTGACTTTTAACCCATGGGAGACTGAATGTTGTTGAGCCATTGGAATGTTACTTTCATATATATATATATATATATATATATGTTATCATCAAGACTGCTAATAGAAGTTAAGAAAAACCCTTTTTTCCGCATTAATATGCAACTTAAAGCAGCAAGGCACATACCTAGTATCAATTTGAATTTGTTAGCTCAAAGGAATTACAGAAAATTCAAGGAAATTAGTCTTCCCTCAATAATATGCAAATTTAGGCTGAAAGTTGCTCCAAAATGTTATCCGCTCATCTACTCCTGTGGCATCAGTATGACGTTACTACTATATATTGTTCTTGAGTTATTGGTCTATAAGAACGTGTCTACAGAGTCGTTCTAAACAAAATCTTCACAATCACACAAAAATTGTTACATCACTTGGTTGTTTGAGCTTCATTGTGCAGAATGATACACAGTACAGAACCTAACTATTTGGACATTTATATTTTTTATGTTCTTTGGGCTCTAAACTTCAGCACATTCAGTTTGCTTTAAGTAAGTTGACGTCCATATTGAAAGAACTTTGTGTGAGACAAAGCCCTTGAACACAATAGATTAACACATGCACATATGAGCATGTTTTGTGACACATGTTTTATGATCACATCTAGTTTGGAAGCCAGTCACGATCCAAGATGTAACTTATACAGGAGTGATGTGGAAACTTGAAGCCTCCAGGTCACACACACTGAGAACAAACTTTTCAGTGAAGTTGGAAACATCTTGTGTCGAGCATTTACACTTTTGAAATGAAAAAATATTTGCATATTCATACAGCAAATTATTGATTTTTCAAAGAGGGAGGAGTAGATGTGACTTTCTAAAACCTAACTAGATTAGATGGTTAAACTTTTTGGTGGAAAAAACTTTTTATTCTATGTCATTTTTATGTATTAAAACATGTCTGAAGGGGATATTTAATTCTGTAGACAGCTGAACTAAACACTACACACATTATATTTATAGAATAGTGCCTAAAAATGATATCCTAAAACTTCATCAAATTTTTAAGCTTTCCACTCAAGCACATGAGCAGCACTCCTTCATGAGAGGATGGGAAAGAAAGATGACCTATGCACTGCTACCCCTTGTTAGCAAACAAATAAATAATCCAATGCACATCAATGCACTGATTTTCTCTAACATAAATAAACCTTTGCACGGCACCTCAGGCTCCCTGTGGAGTCTTTGACCTCTAGCGGTCAGCACTATGAAGCCGTTTTTGTATGAGTGGATCCTTCTTTTGTTTTTATGTTCCTCGACCTCAAGGAGACACACACTGCGTTTCTCTGGTGAGTAACACTGACAGGAAACAACTTGTGTTTGTGAAAACTCCACAGGGCACCTTTAACATCACACAGCATCACAGCCAGCACCCACAGAGCAAACTTGTCACAAGACTAAATTTGACTAAAAGATGAAAGACGTCACAGAATTTCAATAAAGTTAGCACCTGTTGCCTGTAAAGGGTCAGTTTGTCGTCCATGGGGTCGTTTCTCATCATCTTCCTCTCAATCAGCTGGTTTATCTGAGAATCAGCTTCTTTAATCTGTTGAAGTGTAAATTAAAAGGTCACTCAGAAACAAACACATCAGAAAGGTATACAGATGTAACACCACACTGTTCCTGACCTTGTCCTCCAGCTCCTGGAGATCGGCCTGGCCCATGGCAGGCTCTGACGCCACCTTCTGAAGGTACTGCACTGTACGCCTCATACCCTCCAGCTCTTTGGGGAGTTTCTCTGAGACCATGTAGGAGTTGATCTTGATCTCCTCTTCCAGCCTCTTCATTAGGCCTGAAAGAGATGGAGCTTTTAATTAATTTTGAGCTTAATGTTTTTGAAAGCCTGTCAGGCTTCAATGGCCCTGATTGAGTCAAGCTGAACACCGCTTACATATACAAAGCCACAGAGAAAACGGAAGAACGCACCACTAATATTTTTTGTAAAATGAACTGATATTGAAATAGCCTTTTAATAATTTCATTGTTTAACGGCAAGTACTTATATTGCACGATGGCTGTATTTAAAGTACTTATTTGGACACACACATACAGTAACAGCGATAAGTGACTAATTGTGCAGCTTCACTTCAGTCTGCATTGCACAGATCATTTTAGAAGCTGCAAATGTGTAAATCTCTCCTCTGGCAGAAGAGCCCAATACCAGATGAGAACAAAAGGAGACAATTTCAACATCAGATAAGCTGTATTATAGCACTTCAAAGATCAGTGTAATTAGAGGGTTTCAACAGATGAAAGCCTATTAGCTGAGCGACCCCCTAATGCTCTGCTGTGTCCTTGAACTTCCCATCCAGCTGTGTCCTGCAGAAGCAACAGCAGGACACGGACACTCACTCTCTGGATTGGCATCTGCTGCTGCCTGTTGCAAATCCTTCAACTGCTGCTGTGATCGCTGTAGTCTCTGCTCTGCCTGGAACAGCTGCAGAGACAAAAGTGATTTACTAACACAGGTTAACGTGGGAAAATGAACAACACTAAAGATTAGGGCTGCAGCCAACAACTGTTTTCATTATTGACCATTTTCTGGATTAATACGTCAATCTTTTGGTCTACAAAATGTCACAAAATAATGAACAATGCCCATCTTATTTAACCAGAGTCCAAGGTGACATCATGAAATTGCTTGTGTTGCCTCACAGGTATTCACATTTCTTTCATAGGTGACTAAGAGAACCATCAAATTTGAGAAGTTGAAAGCAGTGATTTCTTTTTGCTTGAATGGCAAGGAATTGAGATCATCAAAATTGTTGCTGATTCATTTTCTGACAGCACATTATAAATTAATTTACTTTTTCAGATTTATTCAACATGTCTCAGTAAAAGTATGATATTTTTAAAGCTGTCTGTTCTCTCACAAACAGTTCTTTTCAACCAACTTTATCATCCCTTGAAAATTTGACTTTGAAAATGTTTACATTTATAATCAACAAAAGCTATGATAATTATAATATTGAAAATTGAATATTATATTATAGTTTCACAGGAGGCCACAAATTAATTCTGTAATTATTTGAAATATCTCTATTGTCGATGAGTATTTCAAATAGGGCTCATTATCAATTTCATCTCAGGATTATTTAATCAATTAACCAATCATTAGTTTATTAAATGTCATAAAATAGTGAAAAAATGCTTATTGCAACTTCTCAGACCAAGGTGACGTCCTCAAATGTCTTGTTTTGTCTGACCAACAGTTCCAAATTCACTTTTCAGTTTCAAATGATATGATCCTCTCATTTGAGAGGCTGAAACTGAAACTAGAGGCTATTTGACATTTTTTCACTATTCATGCTTGAAAAATCAGTTGCCGAATAATTCTTTGTCAATCAACTAATCATGTCATTGACAAGTTGTTTCAACCCCAATATCAAACACGAAACAAGGACCAAAGATCTTATAGTGTGAGGTGCTGCAAAAGCTTAATGGTAAATGGAAAAAAGCTACAACACCTGATATACAACATGTTAATTTGTCTTTTCAGTCCTCAACAGCTGACAGCATATTATTCGGCTGGTCTATGATGTCACTGTAACATATACCAACGGGTGCAAATGTGATGATAAACCACAATTAACCACAAGCATTTACTTGGTTTTTCTGTTCCTGCTTCTGATGAGTAAGGGACTCCTCTCTCTCCTTCTCCACTCGCAGCTGTCTGGCCTGTTCCAGCATCCGTTGATGGTTGGACACTGACTCCACCTAGTGGATTGACAGGTTAGTGTCATGTCCAATATGCAAGTTATCACATGGTCAGCAGAAATAACTGAGACACCTCTGACAGAGTCAGGTTTCACCTTTTGGCAGGGCCTATAAATAAGACCCATTAAATAAACACCCCATTACTTCACAGCCTTGTTAAGACAGCATTGCAACTTGTCAAGTCTATTAGAGGAGCTGATAATATATGTCTGAGGTCATGTTTTCATTCCTCAGTGAATCCTAAAGCCCTCCAAGTATTGCAAGAGTGAAGGGGCCTCCCAGAACAATCTGCCTTACCCTCTTCTTCAGCCTCTCCACACGTTTGATTAGTTGGTCTTTCTCCTCCTCCATTGCACTAATGTCCTGTTATCAAAGATAAGATGAATAATTTCAGAGAACTGTATCAATTGGGAGAGGAAATTTATCATATTTAGGTTACTTGTTTCTCTGACCAGTAGTCCAAAACCCCAAGATTTAGTTTAACACACTAGAAGAGAAAGAAAATCAGCAAATATATCCTAATGTGAGAACCTGGAAACAGTGAAATTTGGTATCTTTGTTTAAAAACTGACTTAAATGATTATCAAAATAGTTGTTATTCATTTTGTGAAAATTGACTAATTGTTCCACCTCCAGTGTCAATAAATGCCAGTTTTATACTGAGAAAGCTTTGCATCAAACCAACAAAGATTGTAAAAGGTTATTGACTGTTTTGTTTACCCTTCTGATTTCTGCTGTGGAGAAGCCGGAGGTCCTCAGCTGTTCACACTCCTTGTGATATGTCTTAAATCCTTCCACCAGCTCTTCATACTGTGAACACACAACACTAATGTATAGCCTCTTTTACGTTTTAGGTAATTAGCAATTCCAAAAAAGAGCACTAGGAAATTACATAGTATCTGTATCTGTAATATATTTTATCAAACCTGGTGATAGGTGTCATTGATGACATCATCCTGCAGAAACTCGGCAGGGACCTCCAGTTTGACCAGAAAACGAGCCAGGTAAGCCCTCTTCTTCAGTTCATGGACCCTCTGCAGTAGCCAGTGGAGGATAGGGTGCACCACAGGTTTGCTGCCAGTCACCAGACCCTGTCTGAAGGTGCTACTGCAAGAGGTGAAAAGAGGCAGAGCCTGTAATGAAAATATTGTACAAACAACAAGTGCTGCACTCAACGAGATAGGTGATAGGTGTAAAGTCACTTACACATCAGAGAGGTTTCCAGGAGGCCTGTATTTCAGCATCCCCAGCAGAACACACATCCTCTTTACAGTTTGTTCAGGCATTTCTTCACGTATATCCATAGCTTGCTAAAAACAGGGATAGCAGCAAGTGACGTTACCTATCACCGATTATTCATGAATACCACATATAAACAGGCATAACACAAAAGCACTGACACATCTGTAGTTCCAGTTGTTGAAGCTAACACTAGTTGTTCACCTTTGGGTCTATTTCAGCGAGAACATCATTTAAAATCTGCAGCAGCTGCATCGGTTCGAGAGAGTCAAACGTGATGAGGTTAAAGTTTTTCTTGAATGGATCTTTGTTGATTTGCTCAACGATGAATTTCAACTGTTCGCTCATCTTGGAAATGCTGAATCTCGTTGTCGTCCTTTTCTTTGCTGGATTAACCAGCTAACAGTCAGTTAAAGCTAACTGTCGTCGACTAATTTAGCTAACCAGCCCGTGAAGAATCCCTCTAATGACCAGCTCACTTTAGCTAATGGTGGCCTTGTCAACCAACCACTTACAAATGCTAAAGATACATCTTCAAAATATTTGTTACGTCGCCTTATCGATCTTCAACCAGCTAGCTAGCTAGCAGACAGTAATGCAGCGGTTGTTGTCAACAGCCCCATGGAAACCATAAAGGCGTCGCGGATTGGTAGCTAACCGGAAGTAGTTTAAGACAGTATGTTCAAAGAGATTTTGCGCTAAATATGCGCAAATTGACTCGTAACACGATAGACGATGAATACAAAAAATATTGAAAACTTATCCACATGTGCTTTATGGTAAAACATAATTTGAATAAACGTCAACTAAAACAAATATACTTAATTGTATATGCATTGTATTTTATGGTAACCCAGATTCCATTTGAACATCTGGTAATTTAATCTGACACAGCCTACATTATTTTTCGGCAGTTACAATAAACTGCAACATTAATACATGTAGACAGTACCTAAATCTCGTAATGGTTCACCTAACAGCGCACAAACAGTGTAAAATATTCCTCTTTAAATCTCTTCAGGAGACGTATCAATCTGTACATGAACCCTGAACGCACCATCCCGTCATGGTCCTAACTTTTGAACCGTCAGATGGCGACATTTTCACGAGCCACGGCTTTGTGTTGCACCACAGTGAACTTTGGTTGGATTTTAGTTAGAGTTAACATAACTGAAAAGACAAGTGTTCTGTGTCATACGGATACGTATCTAGAACTAGATAGGGGAAGACGAAAATATTAGTTGGTTACGAAGAGGAGCTAAAAAAAAAGGAAAAAAAAGACCGCTAGCAACAAAAAGTAGATGTTTTGAAAGTCGGGACGTCGTTTTTCTTCATCCACTTGAAGTATAACAGCTTCAAGACAACACCATCCTGCACAAAACCCTCGTGGTGACCTCGCTGCTGGACGTTTTCTGCCTTTAAGGTGTCACTTTGTCTTCTTTATTGGACCATATGTTTCATAGCTGTCACAGCAACATTTCCTCGGGAATATATGTTCTGGTGAATTTCCTCCTGCCATAATGAACTCTAACTGCAAATTCGTTTTCGATTAGAAGCAGCATTTTTACAAATCATCTTCTCTATTTTTTAGGTAAGTATGTATTTGGAGTGAAAGCCTGAATCACGTCCATGTAGCTCCTCCTCTTCGAGCTGCAACTGTAACGCTGACGAAGAGCCAAAACACCACGGAGCTGCCAGTCAGTCTGACACCAAACACAGAGGAGGACAGAAGCTCTCCAGAGAATAGTCGAGCACAGGGAGAGATCAAGTGCGAGAACAAGGATAAACTCACGGACGCGTGATGTTGCTTCTGTAGGATTTTATTCTTTGTTTGTGAGACTGAACAGGTTTTCTTCCCTGTTTTCCTCCTTTCCTTCCTTACTCTGGAGAGCACTTTTCCTTTTTGAGTGTAGCACTATGAAGGCGTTAAGTTATAAACAGTTAAGTCCAGTTCATGCTTTAGAAATGGATATGTCTGTGTTGTTAGTTGATTGAGTAGTTTATGTCAGAGTAATAACAATGGTTGAACCAGTGGGGTTTGTGGAGGCATGGAGAGCCCAGTTCCCAGAGTCTGATCCCCCGTGCATGGAGCTGAACACACTGGGGGACATTGAACAGGAGCTGGACAAATGCAAGACATCTATCAGGCAGTTGGAGAAGGAAGTAAACAAGGAGCGCTTCCGGATGATCTACCTGCAGACTCTGCTTGCAAAAGAGAGGAAATCTTATGATGGGCAGAGATGGGGATTTAAAAGGATGCCCCTGACAAGAGATGGAGACCTGCCCGGTGGCACAGACAGCCAGAGGTCCCACGCAGATGAGGTGACGGCGGAGGAGCAGCAGCAGAGAGGGCATGTGAAGACAGTAAGGTGCAAACCACATCCAGAGGGCGAGGTGGACGGTGCATCCCCAGCCAAACAGAAGGGTGGGGTGTCACCCGTCCGGCAGGATTCAGAGATTCCTGATTTCCCAGTGGGCACAGGTTCGGTGGCAGCTCTGAGATCCAACTTCGAGCGCATCCGGAGAGCCAACTCTCACACAGCTGGGGACGGCAGAGGGTTGTCAGTGATGGGCGGCCAGGAAAAACCGTTCTATGTGAACATGGAGTACCATCACGAGCGAGGGCTGGTCAAAGTCAACGACAGGGAGGTCTCAGACAAGATCAGCACCCTGGGCTGTCAGGCCATGCAGATAGAGCGAAAAAGGTCACTGCACTCCCTCCCAGGGAACCTATCAGCTGCTACAGGGGACATCAGCAAGGCTGTTCAGAGAGGCAGGTCCACTGAGGGGAACTGCAGCTACAATGGGTCATATGATGATGCGGAGGTAAACCCACACTTCCTGAAAGACAGTGCGATCCGTTCCACTGGGGGGAAGTCTGAGCGACAGTCAGCTGAGTGCCAGCCTTACACCAGTGTGTATGTTGGGGGAATGATGGCTGACGGTGACACCCGAGTCATCCACATTAGGGACCACAGCATAGAGGAAGAGGCACACCTCACCTGGCCGAGGTGCTCCTACTCTCCTGGCAGCTTTGATGATGTAGGAGGAGGCTACACACCGGACTGCAGCTCCAATGAGAACTTAACGTCCAGCGAGGAGGACTTCTCCTCAGGCCAGTCCAGCCACGTGTCTCCCAGCCCAACCACCTATCAGATGTACAGGGAGAAAAGCCGCTCACCCTCCCAGCATTCCCAGCAGTCGTTTGAAAGCAGCAGCCCACCCACACCTCTCTCTCAGAAACATCTGAAGCAGCAGGTGATAGTTTCCGAGGCCTCCATCATCGGGGTCCGCAAAACGGGCCAGATCTGGCCAAGTGATGGGGACTCCACCACGTCCAGCAGGACCTCTCATGACAACAGTGTTCAAGGAGATTTGGGTAGGTCTGCAAGACACACTGCACAACACAGATGTTCCTCAAGCCTTTCATATTGAGGATTAAAAACTGAAAAGTGTTCTAATGGATAGAGATGATAAAGTACTAAAAAGCACATTAAAGGCCCTCTCTAATCACTGTCTGAAAGATGTCTGTACTTGCCCTGGCTGGCCTTGATCCAGAGTAAGTCACTGATGTGTAAAATGCACCTGCAATCTCTTTAATGAAGACCTAATGTTTTGACCCCATACTCTAAATCCATCCTAAAATATTTTCTGGCACCCAGATTATTTTGCACTTTATTTTTAATGCATGTTTTGTTTGCTTTTTGTTGTTTTCTTGCGGTTCTGCAGCTGCTTTACTTGAGGGGAACTAAGCTGTGATGACTGAGGTGGCCTACAAAAAAAGAGGCCAGGTTTGATAAAATATCCCATTAATGAGAATTTCATTTCCTTCTTCACAGACGTCATCCATATTGAGTGTGTCAGGGATGTTAACCCTTTCCATTTAAGCATGATTAAGCTTTTCAGAGAGAACGCGAACAGGTTGTCACTATGTTGGACCCTGCACAAAGTAAATCTGCCATGAAGGGATTGGATAAGATAAGATCCACTTTACATATGCTGAATTCTTAACAGTAACCCAGTAGTTTTGCAGCTCTTTGAGCAGTGATTTCTCTCCCTTTTGTGAGCAGGCACTGCCCCCTCTTTCTTGTCCCCCTCTGCTCTTTGCCCGCTGAGTGCTGCAGCACTATCACAGAGATGCTCTGACTGAGACAGTGGCTGCCCCCGGGCTTCCCAGTCGCTCGGGCCTGTCCACCCTGAGTGTTTTCGTGTCAGCACGCATCAGTGTTGTTGTCCTTGGTGCAGAGTAATTAACTTAAAGGGGTTTGTCTAGCGTGATAAATTTAGGGAGGCTCTTTGTTACAGGAGTCGGGTAGGAAAAAGCCCTGACAACTCACTCAAAAAAAGAGGATCAAGGGGGCTTAAAGTGTGTCACGCGGCTTCCAATCAAAACGCCTGCCATCAGTGTTTCCTGTTGTTATGTATGAACACAATAGGAGAATCACTCATTGAGCAAAAGTATTGACATGTTAACAATATAACAATGTTAAGTGGGATAAGGAGAGTGGTCTGGGCAACGTGGTTATACCAAGGACAGAAGGAGAGGCGGGAGCAAGTGTTCCTCCGCAAGAACGTTTGTCGGAGTGAGTGACACACGAGGACACATATTGTTGCTGGTGGAGGCCAAATGTTCAGCAAAGAGGGATTGAGATACAGAGCGCGTATTAGGATTGGAGCTGGAAAATTGTCCGCCTCTACCCAAAAAAGCGTGTTATCCACTGTGGGTCAGATTAAGCAGATGAGCAGAATAGTGTGTTGTTATATAAGGTGATCCAAAGCTCTCTGACACAAAGCATGTGACGAACAAGCAGATAGTCTGTGATATAATCAGCGTGAAGTGTAAGCTAGCACGCTGTTCAGATGACTGAAATGTCCAAATCCATTCGCTCTGGGGCTGCGTCATTGCGCTGTGTCGTTTGTCACTCAGTGCTGCAGACACACTGTGAAGATGTTTCTAGGGTGTTTTTTTTCACACCCATAGCTGCTTCTTCTCTTCATTGTGCAGAAAAATAACTAAGAGCAGTTTATGTTTCTCTGTTTTTCTGCATTTATGAGTAACTTGCTTTAAAAAACTAGAAGGAAAAAACTATTTCCACTTAAATGCCATTAAAGCTCCATCAATTTAATTTTGCGCTTGAAGAATAAGGTTTGGGGATAGACAGAAGAAGAAAAGAAAGGTGAAAATCGATGCATCATAGGTCGAGATGTCCTGACTTTTATTCCAAAACACTGGATCCTACAAAGCAGCCAATATCACACTTCAGTTAGACCCTCTCCGCCTGGTAAATGTCCAAATCTTTTCAAGCTCCATGCTCCCAGTTTGTAACTCATGCTCTCTGATATAGATTTGTAGTCTCCAGGCCCAAGCCGATTACCCTGATGACATCATGCTGCTTCTCCAGAGCCAAGACATTATACAGCTTGATAAAAAAAAAAAAAAAGTAACTCAAGTTTACCAGCGTCAAGCAAATCTTTCAACCTCATCTCAGGAAATTTCTCAGTTGTCATAGCGATGAAGACCATGCGATGTGGTTAAAAGCTTTGTCAAACAACTATTTATGTGGTCAAGAATGAACTGTGAATAGTGCACCCCGTGATCAGTAAACAGACTTTTTATGCGTGAAATCGGTGG